ATTTTAATACATGTAAGGAAAGTTGGTTGAAGAGTTTTGATTTTAAGTGAAGCACTTGATAGAATCTTGTTTTGAAAATTTACTATCTAAATGATTCAAACTGCCTGGCTGGAAACTGAAGAAAGCACACAAAGTATGAGCAGTTTATCAAGTTTGTAGAAAGTTTCAAGAGTGTCAAGAGTTTCAAGAAAGATATAGCAAGGATTTGTGATTGATCGAATCTTCCCTAATAATCAAGAACAGTGGAGGTGCAGAATATGATCTGGAAATGGAACAAGTACAAAAAACTGAGAAGTTATCCTTCAGCCTCCATCTTCTTCTTTCATGACATTCTCTTCTTTTTGCCGTCTTTCTGCAAATTCTCTCCTCTAGGCAGCCATGTGAGGATTGCATGCATTTCTGTCCAACCGTGCAAATGGAGTTGGAGGTTTTGAATTTGGGAGGAGTCAAGGAATTTGTATAGAAAACTGTGGCTATCTAGGTAGGGATGCTTTTTCTGTACCATTGCCTGCCTTCCTGTCTGCAATGGCAAACTAATTTGGGCTGAATAGCTTCACTACAGCAGCTGTACTTGAATAAAGCTACACTTTTATTTCCATGGGGAGTTTGCTGATTAGAGCAAGACAGTCAGAAGACAAGTGAGGAAGTGGCAGGACAGGAAGGGGATAATTTAGTATGTGTCTCTGTGGAAGCAATGTTTGAGAGGAAGGTTGGGGTAGCATCTGAAGTGCAGAGGCTTTGGGGAGGCCATGGGTAGTATGCAGTGATCAGTGGAAAGCATGAAGGTAGCCCTTGCTAGCTGGAGGTTAAACTGAAGAAGATTAAGGCCAACTTTACCTAGATGAGATTTGGGAAAAGCAAAAATTTGGGAAACCAAAGGCACTCAGTAAAAGATAGGAGGCTTGACCTTGGGGCTTCTTTGGGAAGACCACAAAAAGTTTTATACGTGTGTGAGCTTGCATGCACATAGATATATGTGGATATAGGGCAAGAGTGCCCAGGCTGTTAGTTAGAAAAGGAGGTGGGGAGATCGAGTGGAACCTGTTCATTTAAAAATGAAGGAGCCTTTAAAATAACTGATGCTGGCAGAAGCATCATTTGGCTCAGGTCCTGGAGGCACAAATCGACCATCAGTTAGATACCTGTTTATTTCAGCTGTGAGTTCTCAACAGGTAAGGCAGCAATTCCACGAATACAGAAGGATTTTAGGTTAAATGTTAAAGGTTTTCTTTATAGTCCAGATGTTAAAAAATATAGATAGCTGATCTACAGTAGTGACAATAAGAGAATGTGAATATATAGATATTGAATTGTGCTTTAGTTAGATCTTATATCTATAAAAAAGGAGAATTGCAAGGAAAAACAAGTCAAATTTAAAGTGGAAAGCACAGAATAAAAAATAGGGATAATATCCAGTCAGTTAGGTTTTGTTTTTTTATTCTGGAGTAATTTCTAAAGAAAACTGTAGGAAACTTCGTCGTAAAGCATGTTAAAACTTTGAAAAAAGCACTAAGTTTATGGTGCTGTCTGTAACATATGTTGAATGGTCAGGGAGCTAGATGACCTGGTTTTACATTCCACAATTTTATCTTTCATTTTTCCCAACTCAAATCTGATTTTCCATATGTCTTTTGAAAATGCAAATGAAAACAGTGCTTGGGGAAGGAAAACAAAACAAAAAACAACAACAAAAAACCCAACACAAAAACCTTGAAGCTTTAGAACACTATATAGGTGTATGAAAAGCAGTGTTCATTTTCAGAGGCTGAATTGTTTAGGAGAAAGATAAAATCCACTTTGGGTAAATGAAATCCTATGTATGTGCAAATGCTCATTATTTCATAGAAAGAGAAAAACTCTTTAAACCTTGGCCATGTGTACTGCCAGTAGCTTCATAGAAGTAGCTTATAGATGACCTATAAATGTATGCCTAGAAAATAATCTTTAACAATGCTTGACAGCACCCAATCGTTTAAAACTTATTGGTTTTAATTTCACATGAGATGCATGAAATTAGGAATATCTGCACCTGTTTTGTTTACTAGCTTTATGCCTGGAGACAGATTTTAAAAATACCATATTGTTTGGTTTTATTCTCATATTCCTCTTGAAACACAGACTCACAGAATTGCAAAAGGGACCTTTGGAGGTCATCTGGTGCAGCAGCCCCTGTTCAATCAGGGCCATGTACAGCCAGTTGCCTGGGACCATGTCCAGTCAGCTTTTAAGTATCTCCACTGAAGGAGACTCCATAGTCTCTCTGGACAACCTGTTCCAGTGCTCACTCACCCTCACAGTATAAAAAGTGTTTCCTGATGTCCAGAGGGAACCTTTTGTGTTTCCATCTGCACCCATGGCCTTTGGTCCTGTCACTGGCCACCACTGAAGAGGGCCTGACTCTGTTCTCTCTGCACCCTCCCTTCAGGTATTTATATACATTAATGAGATCCCCCCCCGAGCCTTCTCTTCTCCGGGCTGAACAGTTCCAGTACTCAGTCTTTCCTGATAGGAAAGATGCTCCAGTCCTTTAATTATCTTCATGGCCCTTTCTTAGGCACTCTCCAGTATGTCGATGTCTCTCTTGTACTGAGTAGCCCAGAACTGGACACAATAATACTCCAGGTGTGGCCTCACCAGTGCTGAGTAGAGGGAAAGAATCACTTCCCTTAACCTGCTCGCAACGCTTTAATGAAGTCCAAGATCCCATTAGCCTTCTTGGCAACAAGGGCACGTTATTGGCTTATGTTTAACTTGGTGTCCACCTGAACTCCCAGGTCCTTTTATGCAAAGCTGTTTTCCAGCTGGGTGGCCCCCCAACATACATTGGTGCCTGGGGTTGTTCCTCCCCAGGTACGAGACTTTGCACTTCTCCCTGTTGAACTTCATGAGGTTTTTGTGTGCCCATTTCTCCAGCCTGTTGAGGTCCATCTGGATGGCCACAAGACCACCTGGTGTATCAGCCACTCCTCCCAGTTTGCTGTCAGCTGAAAATTTGCTGAGGGTACATTCTGCCCCATCATCCAGATCATTAATGAAGATATTAAATAGCACTGGACCTAGTATTGACCCCTGAGACAGATCACTAGTTGCTGGCCTCCAACTAGACTTTGTTCCACCAATCACCACACTCTGAGCCTGGTTGTTCTGCAAGTTTTTAACCCACCTCACTGTTTACTTATCTAGCCCATACATCAAGAGTTTGTCCACAGCTTCTCCCATAACAGGATCTTACCAGAAACAGTGTGAAAAGGCCTTACCAAAGTCCAGGTATACAATATCCGCTGCTCTTCCCTCATCTACCAGGCTAGTCATTTCTTTATGGATGTTTATCAAGTTGATTGAGTATGACTTCCCCTTGATGAAGCCATGTTGCGTACTCCTGATGAACTTTTTGTCCATAATGTGCCTGGAAATGATTAGATGCTTCATCAGCTTCCCAGGGATTAAGGTGAGTCTGACTGACCTGTGATTCCTTGAGTCCTCCTTATTGAGAGTGTCCTTGCAATGACATCTGCCAGCTCCCTCAGCACTTGTGGGTGCATCCCATTAGGGCCCATGGACTTATGTATGTCCAGTTTAATTAAGTATTCCCAGACCTGATCCTCTTCCACCAAGAGTACATCTTCCTTGCTCTCTCCTTACTCCCTGGTCTCTGGGATTCCTGAAGGCTGGTCTTGGTAGTAAAGAATGAGGCAAATAAGTCATTCAGTACCTCAGCCTTTTCCATGTCTGTGTAATCAGGTCCCCCATCTCATTGAGCAATGAGCCCACATTTTTTCCTAGTCTTCCATTTTTCACCTGTGTACTTATAGAAGACCTTCATCTTGTCTTGGACATTCTTGTCCAGATTTAGTTGCATTTGGGCTTTAGCTTTCCTGACTTCATCCCTGAATGCTCAGACATTCTTTCTGTGCTCCTCACAAGTTACTTATCATTGCTTCCACCCTCTCTATGCTTGAATTTGTGTTTTAGTTTGTCTAGGAGCAACTTGTTCATCCATGCAGGCCTCCTGGCATTATTTTTCCAACTCTCTTGAGCTTGGAGGAAGTGATCCTTGAAGATTAACAAGCTTTCTTGGGCCTCATTTCCATTGAAGATGTTATCCTATGGGATTCTTCCAAGCAGATCCCTGAAGAGGCCAAAGTCTGCTCTCCTGAAGTCCAGGGTTGTGTGCTTGCTTTTTACCCTCTTCCCTGCCCACAGGATCCTGAATTCCACCATCTCCTGGTCACTGCAGTCAAGGCTGCCTTTGACCTTCACATCCCCAATTATCCCCTCCTTTTTGGTGAGCATGAGATCCAGCATAGCACCTCTCCTTGTTGGCTCCTCTATCACTTGGAGGAGGAAGTTATCATCAGTGCACTCTGGGAACCTCCTGGATTGTTTGAAACGCTGATGAAAGTGATATCTACCCCTGATATTGGTTTGTCCATGTCAAAACTGGGGCAGTATTCCAATTAATCCAAGATTCATGAGTGAGCTTTGTACAACCCTTCTTAAGGAGCTTCACTTGTTCTTGTTCCTGTCGTCATTATTTTGCTTATAATAACTGTACTAATTAACTGTCTTTTTATTTTTATCATATTGGCGTTTCCAAATAAGTAAAAACTATAAAAATACATTAGTGTGCAATTCATATAATTTATTGAACAAAGAATAGAAATTAATTTCTACACAGCTGTTGTAACATTATCTGTTCTCCCTAGGAATAGGTGACTGCACAATCAGTATAAAAATGAATTAATGACAAAAGAAACTATATTTTACACATTATAGGTGCGTTTGTATAAAATATGAATACAATGGGATGTGGATTTCATCATGTTATATAAAAGGAGCTGTGTATAACCTGAATTTGACTTTATCATAACATTAGTATTCCCCTACATCTTGTTGAGGGTTTTTTTATGCTTCATATTGATATATCAGAAGGTGTGGTAGGCTGCTGACTTTTCTACAGAATTAATCTTAACTTTGATCCCTTTTATCATACTGTGCAGGAGTTCTGAAGAAAGCTAGTGGGGAGCTTTTAATAGGAGAAACTAGAGCAAATGAAACCAGTGTGCTTCCTGAACAGTTACTTCAGGTAGAAGAGGTGAGTATGAAAAGAGTCTTACACTTTGTAGGCGATTTTCTTTTGTCTGTGTCTCTAGTGTAGTCTGTCACCATGTTCATTATAAACACCTTTTGCCATAGTTTCATTATTTAGCTACTGCAATTAATTTTAGGTGCAAAGTCTCAGTTAAGATGGAATAAAATCTTACAGCATTCATGAAGAAGTGGTTGTTATTTAAGATTTAGTAACAGAACGGATTTAACATCAGAAGTATAAGATACCTCATAACCAAACAGTAAAAAAATGCTAAAATTTGATAGCTTTCTTAAGTATTAAATATATTCTCAAATACAGCAGAATCTTAAAAAAATCTATCAAATTCTAGTGTTTCATTATAATGAGGCTTCCTATATTCATAAGTACTCACATGTTGTCCAGTTTCATTGATGCCAACTACTGTGTAGTAAGCACTATGCTTTGTAGAATGTGTGTACAAGATTAAGTTTTAGTCTGGCTTCCATTTACTACTAAACAAATTTTTATTGTTGAATTTATGGAACCTACATGCCCTAACAAGTCTGATATTTTGCGATAGTGGAGTTTAATTTACTAATGGCTCAATTTGAATGCTGAAATGACTTTTCAAAATGTGCTTTGAATTAGTTTGTGCTATTCATGTTTCTGTATCTTGTAGATTAAGAAGAATCTATAAACATATAAAGACACATAAAGATTTAAAGATATATAGAGATTTATATCTATAGATATGAATCTTATATCTATAGATACGAATCTTTAAATAATGTTTTGAGAAGATCGAGCTTTACTTGAACCAAGATCAAAAAAAATATAAAAAAAATGAGGGAGTGCAAAAATGGGTGTCTGTGGGGGCTGTCTGTGCTCACTCGAGCGGAGTGTTGGGAGTGGGAAAGGGAAAGGAGGAGGCAACTTCTAATTTGGAGTAAGATGGAAGGGGTTCACTTCATAGTCCTTCATTGTCTTCCCAGTTAGTATTATAGCTGCAGCTTGTTAGGAATCTTTCTTTTTTTTTTTTTTCTCCTACTATGCCTTATGGTGGGTATCTTTACTATACATATCTTTACTATACATCTTATGTCATTAAAGTATTTTTCTTCCAGTGGTGCAATTCTCATTTGGCCACTTCTGGTAAGGTTTAAGTCTGCTGTATGTCATACGAGCAATGCAAAGCAAGATTAGTGGAAAAGTAATGATGTCCTACTGTGTCTTCTTCTCTCAACTGCTATGCTTCAGATAACTTCAGAAGTCTGTTTATAGAAGTCAGGAAACTTACTATGTAAATGATAGGAAAAGCCAGCATTAGCTGAAAACTGGAAATCTTTATTTAAACATTTTAATCTTTGCTAAATCCAGCTCTAGAGGAGTGAAATCCAGTGTGGCTGTGTTAAACCCAGCTTCTCTAAATGCTTTCCATTAATATTCAAGGTCAGTAGCTTCCAGTGGTTACCTTCCAATGAAAATTATTATGGGGTATCCATTGCTGGATTACTTGTTAAACTATTGAAAGTGAATATAAGTGTATTTGACTTTGTTAAATATATTCCATTAAAGATTATAAATAATGTAAAGATGAAGCGTGGCTTTTAAAAAGCAATCTTGTTTAAACAAGGTTTTTTATAAATTTCTTTCTTAAAAATTTGGTGACAAGTTTAATACTGTTATGCATGTTCATTTTTGTTGCTTGTATATACTGCTTTTAATATGGTTTCAAAGCTAACAGACTAAATTTTAAGTTATTAAAATTAATTTTAAAAAAGATGGTGTCCTTAGTTTAATTATGATTGTTTGTGTAAGTTTCAGACAATAACAACACTTAATAATGAATCTGGGTTGATTTAACATGAATATGTATTTCAGCCTATTTTACTGAATTTTGGCTGGAGAAATGCATTTAAAGACCTGTCTGCTTCTATGGCTCGCTGTATAACAATAGCAGTCGAGGATTTTTCAACTAAAATTCTTCAACATGAGCAGAAAGAAGAGTTTTCAGCTTCAGGCTATGCAATGAGTCTTGTAAACAACCAGCAAATGAGGGAGTCCTGCGGAGCAGTCCAACAGGAGGAGCAACCAAAACGAATTGCTAAGGCAGGTATCAAAAGATCTGAAGTTTGAGGGGAGACAGAATGCCAAGGCTGTTTGCCATCTACACTTTGAAGTACTTACAGTACCATTAATATTCTATATCTTATATAAATGGAATTAAGAATAGAGTGAAAGGCATTACAATATGAGGCTGAACAGAGTTTTATACAATAGCCCATAGTCTATACTTGAAAGAATTAACTTCTAAACTTCACTGGCATTATTTTTTTCATCCAGAAAGTTCTGAAACATTCTGATTAGTATCTGCTTTGTTACCAAGTTGCTTGATGAAAAAATGCTAAAAGCTTTGAAGCGTAGCTATAAAGGGATTTACTCTATTCATATCCTTAGACATGCCATTTAAGTAATCAGCATAACCATTAATATGGCCAAATTAGAGTTCTTTGATTTGGCTGAAAGGTCATTTATGACAATTAATTAAATTGTTTTTCTAAGGGAATATGTGTTTGAAAATTACTTTATTTCGTAAGCTTTGCAACTGTTCTAGCGAATTTGGAATGCTGTTAATGAATGTTTGCTTAAAATAACATACAAATTTTTGGGAGATCAATGTATGAATTTACTAAGAGATGACAAGTTTGTTTTCAAATTCAGTATTAAGAAATATGTTTGTATATTTTTCAAAGTAAATTAGTTTGGAAAATTATCTTTGTTTACAAGGAACTAACCTTATGCTTTGAATGTACATATAATGAAATCATAAACAAAATGAAGGTGTTACAAGTATAAAATTGTTTTAATTTTTTTCCCATATATTATACAGCTTTAAAGGAAGAAGAAATGAAATAATAATTCATTTAATGTAGATAAATGTTTCTCCCCTGTATAACAGAATGAAATGTTTGTAAAGCTGATTTAATGTATTTATGTTTTATGCCAATTTCTTTATTCAAGAATCTGACCCTAGTGTGTATAAATTAAACAGTGCTGTCAGAATACAAATAACTTGATGCCATGTTTATTTCTCTCAGTTTTGTTCTGACATCATGGAAGAACTTGACACATTGCTTCCATTGGCTCTGGCATGCAGAGATGATTCTCTTCAGGAAATTAGAGCAAACTTTGTAGAGGCCTGCAGCAAAGTGGCAACAGCTGTCCTGGCAAGACTGGAGGAGAAAAGCAAAGATGTTCCCTCCAAGGCTCCCCTGCAAGACTTGTGTGCTGCCCTTTCCACAGCGATGTATGTCTCTCAGCATTTTACAATGTATAGCAATTTAATGAGAGAAACGAGCAAAAAGTGAGTCCCTTTTACTTGTAATGGTTTAATTCAAACATAAATAATAAAGGACCTCATTCCATTTTGGTGATACAATATCGTGGTAGTTTTCCAAATTGCGTCATATTTTTTAGCACATGCACTGCATGTACTACTTATGAAAAGACCTGCATCAAAGCTATTGATAATCCAAAGCAGCCATTACAAAACAAATTATTTATATTTAAGATCTGCATTTGATTTTCAGATCAATATTTTTTATTTATTAAACTTGATTAAAAAGGATTGTCCAGTGAACTGGATGTACTCTGCTCTCATATAAATAGAGAGCTAAGGCCTTAATTTCCTTTTCTGACCTTTGCAATAGCTGAATTTTCATAAAATCTGATTTAGCACATAGCAATCTTAGAGGACAGTATGAATATACATTTCTGCACTTTTTCGTTATACCATCTGTATTCAGAAATGTGAACAAACACATCCAATGTAGTTTTAGAATTTATTTTTCATTGCCTGCAGAATAAAAATTAGGGGAGATATGAAGTAGTACTGTAAAGTCTAAGACAGTAGTTGACGTGGGGGGCAATGTAACTACATTTGCTGTGCTTTTAGGAGATTTTGACTTAAGATACTAGGAATCTCTTTACTGGTCCATGTGTTTCTGGCTTTATGTAATTTAAAAGTAGAAACTGCTTTTGGGAGGGACACCTGAACTAGCATAATTTTCAAGGAATATATGGTTTCTAAGGGGTTGTATGCACTGTTGAGCTACTTTCCCTCTGATGTTTTACTCTCTCCTTCACAAAGTGTATCTTTGTGAATGGGAAGTGTGAGCCAAAATATTGCTCAATTCTACTTACGTGTATTATGAAAGAGTTTTAGTACATACCTAACAGAAATAATCTCTGGACTCTGTGTTTATGTTTTCTTTATCACACTCAGTGCTGATGCAGTTACGCTTCAACCCAGAATCTCCCAATAACTGAATGACAAATGTACTTTTATCTCAGAAAATAGGATGAAGTCATATATTTCTCAGTGACTTGATTAAATGAGAATTTATAGATGAGCAGATATATTTAAAGAACTTGTGAAACTAAGACGAGATATTTTTCAAAAGTGAATGCTAAGTTCAGACTCCAGGACTGAGAGGAAATGAATGATTGATACCTAATAATCAAAACCATTTGCAGTACTGGGGATTGTTACCTCCTACTGCACAGCCTTTCAATCTTTGCCTCTTTGATCATTCTCTCTGAACAGACCCCTGTTCCTAGTGCCTGTCCAACAATATCAGGAATTCATCAACACTCTTCAGTTTCAAGTTACGAACTACTGCGTCAGAGTTTGTGCTACAAGCATTTTACAGGATGCCGAGAGCCACCACTGGGATGACTACAAAGCTTTTTATGAGGTGTGAGGTTAAGTTTACTGTGCCTCCCTTTTACAAAATGTGTTTTACTGGTTGCCAGCTCTCTGACTAATTAGAAGCATAAGATCAGCATTATTTTTACATAGAGATTACTGGAATGTACTATTTTGAAATAACCATGATTGCAGGCAAATGTCTCTGTAGAAATGATGTAGGAAAACATAGTCATTTAAGGATGAGATAAATCATTACCATGGAGTGTTTGTGTCATTTGTTTAATAAAATATTGTGTGTCAAGTTCAAGGCATTTATACAGAACTCTGTAAAGAAGACACCATCATTTTAAATCTTCTTCTTATAGGAAGTGTGACATATGAAAATGAAAGACAGCTATTTTTCTCCTGGAAATTTGAAATATGATTATTTGAATCTTATCTTCAATTCTTCCCATTTTTACCTTTTGTGAGTGAAGGATGTACCAAAGAAAGATGGTCAATATAGTTACCTTCAGCATTCAACAATATATTTCTGAAATAACTAGTGCCATTTCACCTACATTTTGAAGTCACGTCTGCTGTTAAACTATAATCCTAATGATTATGTGAAAAAAAACCCTAAGGATCAAGTGAATTATTATAATTTATTGGGGTTTTTTCTTCATCCCAGTTAAATGCAGGCATAGACTGACATATGCTGTTTGGAATTATTTTCACTAATTTCAGGATTAAGTGAAATTATTATATTTTTTAATCAATAATAACTGAGATCTCCTGGAGACAAAGTCCTGAGCTTCCTTATATCATTTTCTTTGTGAGAGAATCAGGGTGTTTTTGTTAAATATTTTCTGGAATTCTTGCATGAGAGAAAACTCCGTGCAATACATGTATTCTACGTGTGTAACATAAAAATCTGCAGAGACAGTGACAAAAATCTGTACTAGACAGGTGATGCAGACCTTAATATGAGTAATATATCAAAATGCCCATGCTTCAAAGACAAGTAAATAAGCATTTTACTTCTGTTTGAATGTGAGCCCAGATGTCCTGGGTTAGTAAGAAGATGAGAAATTTAGTGGCTTTTGGCAACTGATAAATCATGACATGATCTTCACCGTCTGTGGTCCATATGATGATGTGTCCTGTTTAGTAGTGACCCAGTAGCTACTCTCCATGGAGGAAACCTAGCTGTCAGAAATAGGTGTCTCAAGAAGAAAGCATGGATTTGCTAAACAATTTTGTCATCTGATCAGAACTGATGTGTGTAGGAAGGGATAAATAAAGCTGGTATCTCAGCTCTGTATGCTTGAATGACTTGAAGTGGGAAGTATGTCATTTTACCTCATCCCTCTGCTCTTTTTACTGGGCCATGGGCCATGGCCCAAGCATGGACCATGATCTGCTCCAGGTGCCTCCAGGAGGCATGATGCTGAGCAGTTGCTACTTCCACCGAGCTCTTGTATCCATCCCAAATGGAAGAGATTGGCTTAAGACCTTGTTACAGAGGCAACATCCTGATGAAACTTCTGGCAGTGAGAGGTGGCTCCTTCTAAGGTCTAAGCTCAGCAGGAACTGTGAGGCTCTGCCTCTTAAGTCTTGCAGATTCTGCTGAGCTCAGCAAAAAAGAGTAGCTTGGAGCCAGGCGCCGGAAGACCTTGCCAGTCATCAAGAGCAGGCTCTGGTGTGATCTCCTCCTCTCTCAGTGGGAACACGCTCTTGTGCTTGTGAGAGTCAGTGGCTCACAGCCCTTCCTGCATTTTCTGTGGGATCCACTGCTGTAATCACCATCATCATCTTGCTTCTTTAAGGGGAAGCTGCGCTTGGCTGTCTTCTTCTGCTTGTCTCTTGGGTAGCCTAGCTCTTGAATCTGGTTTAGGTCAGGACCCTCACTGCCCTTTTCCCTTTGTCCCCCAGTTTTGAATATTACATGCAACTGTAAAAGATTCCATTCTCATCTGTAGATCCTGAATGAAATCTCATAAAGGAAAAAAAATACATTCTGTTCACACAAAATAAGCAAAACATTGGCTGTCCTTTTGCTTTGTGTGCATGAGTACGGAAGATGGAAGAGGAAGAAACATTTCTTTCCTGATTTTTGTTATTGGATGCTTAATTACAAACTAAATGGCAGTCCTACACTTCAGGGATCACCTTCTTTTTCCCCAATAATACAGGACATTCAAGTGGTATTAGAAAGCATAGGTGATAGCCTTCCTTTCCATTCCCTACTATTGACGTATTGACTAATAAAACTGCTCGACTTACTTGATGCGTAAGTCATCCAGAAAGAAGACAAAGCCACTGAAAGACAGAGGGAAGGGAGGAAGGGTCAGGGGACAGTGTCTGTGTTTAATTACACAGAGCTGCAGTTTCCATATCCATTTATCTGTTTATTTGAACAATGGCAACATCTGAGGACAAGATTGGTAGCAAATGGTTATTACATTCTGTAAAAGAATTTTCTACATTCTTAAAGCAAGAATAATGTATTTTAAAATGTTTTTGGACTTTCATAACTGATTTGAGTACCTGCTCACCCATCCTCCCTCTGACATACAACTCATCCAATAGCGGTAACTGGAATTAAAAGAAAAGCCGAAGGAGCAATCATGGTTAGGGGACAAACACAGGGATTACAGTCACTGCGAGATCACAGGAAGTTTTCAATACCTTTTAGGAAAAGTTAAGCAGAGATTTTGTGAGATGCGAGTAGCAAATCTGTGGCAATGCCAGATCTGAGCGGAGCTCCGAGAGCGTGGTTCCCACCTGGCACCGAGTCTGAGCTGTCAGGGGGTCCAGGATCTCGCGGGTGGAGCCCCCCGAGCACCCCCCGTGCCGCAGGGACGGCTCTCCAGGTTACGCTTTCGGATGCCGCTTTTAGTGCGGCTGACATCTGCTGTAGCTTTGGGAACTTATGTTTTCTAATAGCCGAGGAATAAAGAATTGTCTGTTCAAAGATAATATTGAGTGGCTTATGTAATAAAGCGCAGCTGCTTGTTTCCTGATATATAAGCTAAATAAAAGCTCACATCTGTTTGTATTATACGAAGCCTGCAAAAATAGCAGATGTTTACCAGTAGAATTGTCTAGAAATGGCAACAAATAGAAAAACAGGTTAGAACAGGGGAATGAATCTCATTTAAATCTTCAGTGAAGCTGTTGCTTCTGCAGTGGAGGTACAATGTTAGAAATGGGGTATTATTCAATTTACTGCTTTAAATTAAATAAAACAGGGAAAATGAAGTGATTTGTGTTTGTGTTTACATAGTTTAAAAGTAAAACTCACCAACATTCAGTTACTTAAAAAAATAAATACCCTATGTTAGAAAGTCAATATAGAATTATATTCCTGGTTGTCAAGTATTCATGTTTTTTGCAATTTTTTTAACTTATTTTTGTAAATTAAAGGTATGATCAAAATAAATTAGCTGCCATTAGTCATTCAAAGTAATTATTTTTTCACCTAGTAAGTTGATTCTGTAACAGTTGAAATGTTTTTGCAAAGAAAGGGAAATGTTAGTAAAATGTCTATAAGGCAGGGTTAGGGGTTTATTTCTGGATAAGTTCTACTGGAAGATATCTCAAGGATAGTCAAGGTAATATATCTAAGAAACCCAGAACTTACAAACTTACAGAAATGTATTAACATTTGAGTTATACAAAGTTATAAAGTAGACCTGTACTTTCTTATGATGGTGTTTCAGTATATCATGCAATAATATTGTGATTTTATTTCATATAAGAAAGATAGGAAATTATTTTAATATGTCCATTATTTTATTATATCAATTTTTGGTCAATATAAGACAATCCTATTTTGCCTGTGTGGAAACACTTGTCAGCTGCTTGATTGTTCAAAATAACAGAGTGATGGGATTTGGTTTACCAGTAGAAATATGCTTAAAGCAGTTATTATACATCCATGGTTGTATGTACACAGAAAATTAGTCATGTAATTTTCTTTCGAAACTTAACTCTATTACATTTTTCTCATCTGCATTAGTGAAACTTGGAAAATTGGACATCTTAATGATTTTTCTTTTTTTTAATTCCTAAATGAGGTTTTAAAGGTGCCTATGCCAATCATAAATTTTAAAACTAGAGCAGCAGTCGCAAGTTTGATACTTTTCTTCTTTGTCACAATTTACCACTTTTTAATATAAAATACACTTCAAATATTATGGCAGAGAAATACTGCATAATGACAACTTCCAGTAGTCTGATAATGTGGTAAGTTTAAAAGGAAGCCAGATTATTTTGTCCTACTATTATTAGAGAATGCCTATCAAAATCTTAACAGTGTTTTAAAATATCAACAAATTCTTAAAATATTTCTCAACTCCATTGGAAGGTGGAAAGTGAAGATTCAAGTCTTTGTTCTGATACAGCTTCATCATAATGCTATTTTCTGAATCTCTATTAGTTGAAATATTTAAATATGAGTTGAACTATGTACTTTTTAGAGATATTATAGATTAACCACTGTGATTTTTACTCCTCTGTATTTACCTCTGTGTCTTATTGGGGTGGTTCTGTATAGATAATGAAATATTAATATTAATGATGATTCCTTCATAGAAAATATTTCTTTTCAATGAGTTACCATTATAACATGACCAAAATATCTTACTAAAAAATTCTGGACATTTCTTATTATCAGTTTAATTGTTCAGTTGTTCTTTGTTTTTCTGCTCTTACTGCATATCCATTATATATGACCAAAGTTTCATATTCATGGTTATGTGTGGCAATTATGAATCTGGGATAATACATATGCTTAAATAATTTAAATAATTATTTTCTTTTGAGGACAAAGAAACTGTTATATTAATTTCATCTGACTATTGTAGTGAGTGCAGAATACTGATATGTTTTTAAACTAGACTTACAATACTATGGGTTTTGAGAATAGGTTAATTAAGGATATAAGAGGTCAAATGCTGTGGTTTGGTTTTGTGGCAGAACTCTAGTTTTGTAACTGAAATAGAACATGTGTTTTCTTGCTAATAAGGATGTTTCACATCTTGTCAAGGACCATTTTTTGGTCATCATGTGCCTGAAACTCTTCAGCTATTTCCTTTCAGATTGAATTAATTAGACTTGGAGGAACTAAATTGACATTTTGGAAGGTGTGTTTTTATTATTTAATGTGTGGTGGTTTTGCTAGGGGGAAAGATGCTCATTCTCTGTCCAGATGTGGCATTACTTCTGCTGTGCTCTTCATCATGATCTGTGGACTATTCTACCTCCCAAGACAGCCCAGGAGATTCTTACAGATGTACTAGAACAATCTTTGGCTATGCTGTGCTCCAGATATTGTCAGGCCTGCCCCAGTTACAAGAGAACACCACAGATCAGGTAATGTTTGTATATTTAATGCACACTTCTAATGAATAAAATAAGTGAGTCTTGGTTTTCTGTTATGCACTGCTTTGACTCAAATTTAAATGTTAATGAACACAGTAGAGGAGATAGACAAAATTTGTGTATTTTGATGTTCATTTTAATTCAGTATATTTTGTATATTAAAGTGCATTTGGTAGTCATATACTAAACCAGGAAGAATCAAAGCCCTCTTTTGAACTCTTGATAAAAATGTTCCATAAACTGCCTGATTGGGCTGAAAGTGTCATGATGAACAGTGCATTGCAGAGTCATGGCGCAAACAAAAATGTGGGCAGAATTGGCAGCATCAGGATTAGAATCAAGCCATTAATTCATGAAGAAATCTCATGTGTTGCAATAGAATTTCGGTTTTCATAGGGCTTTTCAAGTGAAAGACCTGTGAGGTCACATCAGAAGGTTTGCCAGGATGAAGCCAGTGGTGCAGAAGGAGAGAGGAGGAAGAGGCTATTCCTTCTCCTGTCATTTTAGGAAAGATGAAAGTGGAAGTTCTTGTTGGGATTCTTATGTTTTGCTGGAGATGAAGGTCTCTTTAAGAAATACTAAAGCAATTGTCTCTGGGTGGAAGCTTACCCTACCTCTGTCCTTTCTCTTTCTATTCCATGTCTTGTTTTGCTGGAGAAATCAGTGCATTTCTCATCCTGGCCCTTTGCTATATATATATTTCCTTTATGAATATGTTCCTCTTTATAGATTTTGGAAGTGATATAGTCCATGGTGGCCATGCAAGTTAAAAAATTAGGAGTTTGTCATTTGTAGATGTGACACACTCAGCAGAGATATATTCTGTGTGAGCTAAGAGTTACATGCTGTCATCATAAGTTTTATTATGAAAAGGAGCAGTGTCATGGAAGCTTAGGTAACTTGTATAGGTTCACATTCTTGGAATAGGTGGGAAAAACCCCAAAGTTTTACTCTATGTATCAAAATACCTATTTGTATGTTCTATTCCTACACTAATTTACCTGATTAGGGCCTTCTATATTTTTAGGTACATGGAGGTTTCCTGGAAATTTCCTGGGAAAAAAAAAAATACCCCGAAGTATGAAGAATATGTAGAAATACAGTTTTTCTTAAATGTAGTATTAATAAAGTCTGTATAAATTTTCTTCAAAATACTGAACAAGAAAGTTCTTTCTACATTGTCGTTTTATAGAGAAGCTATTTTATTTAATAAGGTGATTCTTGAATTTCTCACTGCATGAGTTGAATTATCCAGTCATGCACAAAAAACATTTTTTAATTAATATCATTCAATATATTTTTATCACAGAGATTTTACATACTTTTTTCTATAATACTCTAGGGGGGAGGTGGTTTATTTTTTCTCAATTGCTCTTGAAATGTTAGAGATCTGATCTGTGATACAGAAAAATACCTGCTCATGTGTGTTTGACTAGATTTTCCAAAAATAAGATGATCCTTAAAAATGCAGATGATCACAGATGCATCCATTGGCTTTTAGGTACATAGGTACTTTCTTCAGACCAGTTTCATTCCTGCCATATATTTTGTGTTATCCATCTGTTTCCTATCTGTTGTATGTCAGCATAGTCTTGTGAGATTGCGTTGTTGTAGTCTGGGTTCTTGCTATTTTTAGGCCAATGACCCATGATGCTCTGCCAGCCAATATCAACAAGCAACAGATGACTGACTCAGAAACATTCCACATCATAATATGTTTCCTGGCAGTTAAAGTTTTGCAAATTGAAAATATAGTTTGCTTGTCATTACTTTTTTGCTGCAGAAGGATTTGAAAATACTGCGTACATTCTAATTATACTTTATCATAAAGAAACATCATAGAATCACAGACTGGATTGGGTTGGAAAGGAACTTACAGATGTTCCAGTCCCACCCCCCCTGCCCCGGGCAGGGCCCCCTTCCCCCAGCCCAGGGGGCTCCCAGCCCCGTCCAACCTGGCCTTGAACCCTTCCAGGGAGGGGGCACCCACAGCTGCTCTGGGCACCCTGGGCCAGCGCCTCCCCCCTGCACAAGGAACAATTTCTGCCTTATGTATAACCTAAACCTACTCTCTTTCAGCTTAAAACTGTTCCACCTCATCTTATCCCCACACCCCCTGACCCAGAGTCCCCCCCCCCCCTCCTCTCCTGTCCCCCCTTTAAGCCCTGGGAGGCCACTCTCAGGGTCCCCCCGGAGCCTTCTCTTCTCCAGGCTGAACCCCCCCAACTCTCTCAGCCCGGCCCCCCAGGGGAGCTGCTCCAGCCCCCCCAGCATCTTCGTGGCCTCCTCTGGCCCCGCTCGAGCAGGTCCGGGTCCTTCTGCTGTTGGGGGCCCCCGAGCTGGCCCCAGCACTGCAGGGGGGTCTCCCCAGAGCGGAGCAGAGGGGGACAATCCCCTCCCTGGCCCTGCTGCCCCCCCTGCTCTGGCTGCAGCCCAGGGCACGGGTGGGTTCTGGGCTGCCAGCGCACGGGGCTGCCTCACGGGCAGTTTTCCCCCTCCCAGCCCCCCCAGCCCCTCTCCTCGGGGCTGCTCTCCAGCCGCTCCTCGAGGGCCCAGCCTGGGTCTGTGCTGGGGATCGCCCCGACCCACGGGCAGGACCTTGCCCTTGGCCTTGTTGACCCCCATGAGGTTTGCCCGGTCCCCCCTCTCCAGCCTGCCCAGGTCCCTCTGGGTGCCACCCCTGCCCTCAGCGTGCCCCCCACCACACAGCTCGGAGTCAGGGGTGAACTTGCTGAGGGTGCATCGATCCCACTGCCCCTGTCACCAACAGAGATGTTAAACAGCTCCGGGCCCAACCCCGGCCCCCGAGGAACGCCACTCGTCACCGCTCCCCACTTGGACATTGAGTTGTTGACCGCAACTCTTTGCGTGCGACCCTCCAGCCAATTCCTTATCCTCCGAGTGCTCCATCCGTCACATCCATCTCTCTCCAATTCAGAGACAAGGATGTAGCGTGGGACGGTGTCAGATGCTTTGCACAAGTCCGGGTAGCTGACATCAGTTGCTCCTCCCTTATCCATCAATGCTGTTACCCCGTTGTAGATGGCCACCAGGTTCATCAGGCATGATTTGTCCTCAGTGAAGCCACAGTGGCTGTCACCAGTCACCTCCTGTGTCCTGTATTTTCCATGTGTCCCAACATAGTTTCCAGGAGGATCCGCTCCATGATCTTGATGGGCAGAAGTGAGACTGACTTGTCTATACTTCCTTGGGCTCTTTTTTTTCCCTTTATAAAATGAAAGGAAAAAACTATATTTAATTTTATTGAGTTGTAGTTTAGAAGGTAAATTGTTCCTGTCTAGTGGCATTGTACTTTGGAAGAGGAAATCTCCTCATTTTTTGAGTCTTCTTTTGACTAGTTTCAGTAACAACTTTTCTGTGGAAGCACTAAATTTTTGCACTGTAGTGGATTCAGAATTCCTACATCACTGACAGAAGATGAAATTTGAAGTCCATGATTTGGGTATTTTATGTTATCAGACGAAAGTTTTATTTAACTGAAATTTATGACTATCTTGATGTCCTAAGTAATACATTTTCACTTTTTTTTTTTTCCCAACAGAATTGATATTGCAGCAATTTTGATGTCTACTGAAGATATGCTCTGGTCAGTTTGCAGCTCTGTACAGGAGTTTCTGAGTCCACAGGAAGACAGAGATCTCAAGATCTGTAAAATACATAGCCACTGCAATAGTCTGCTCTCTGTGCTGGCTATTTTAACTGCACCACTGAAGAATTTGTATGAGTGAGTATGAAAGAAACATTCAGTTTGAGATAAAATTGGTTCTTGAGCTTACATGGATAGATCTACAAGCTGAATAATTGTGTTGAAATACAAATGGAATGTGTAGTGCTGACACATTTTGATAACCTTTGACCATATCTTGATTTGGTATTGAACTTATATATATGATCTTACCTAAAGCCCAATTATATGTGCTGGGATTTTATTAGCTTTGGATCAAACTCCTCTGCTGTGCATTTTTTGGCTGGTCATAACCTAGACCACAGTAAAAGTCTGATTTGATTTCCTCTGTAACACAGACAGTAGAATTTCATTAATAATTCCAAACTTGCTATTTACTGTTCAGTTAGGACACATTTTGTTAGAAACACATTCTTACCAGTCTAAAAACATTTACTACTATGATACAAAAGTCTTTGATAAGGTTCTCAAGGACCTAGTCACAGATACAACTGGAAGAATTTCGTCTTCTTACTAGTTCAGGTTTATCTACATTCAGTTTCTAGTTAATTTAGAATATTCTGCTGTCATCCCATAATAATTCTATAACTCCTGAAATTTAAAGATAATTTACTGAAATTGTCATCTGGTTACATGAGCAGTATACCTAAACAAATATTAAATACAATTTAAAAGAGAAAGACTTTAGAATACCCACCTTTATAAAATTATGTCTTCACAAGTCACAACTGTAAACAAAAGGACACGTCACTTGCACTGAAGTTGGGTCTGAGTCTTTCATTACTTCTTCACTGTCATGGTTTAACCCCGGCCGGCAGCTGAGTCCCCTCAAGCCGCTCGCTCGCTCCACCCGTGTTGGGATGGGGGAGAGAATCACGAGGGTAAAACGGAGAAAACGCGTGGGGGGGGTTGGGGATAGATGCAGTCTAAGGGGGAAAGCAAAAGCCGCGCCCACACGCAAAGCAAAGCCAGGGATTAATTCCCCACGCCCCACCGCGGGCGGGTTCGGCCTCCCCCGGGCCAGCCGGGCTCCATCACGCCCGACAGGGACTTGGGGAGCCAAGCGCCGTCGCTGCCAACGTCCCCCCTCCCTCCTCCCTCTCCCCCAGCTCTCTCCATGGGGCACCGGGTGGGCTGGGATGTCCCTGGGGTCGGCTGTGTGTGTCCCCCCACCCCCCGGCTCCTTGTGCCCCCCAGGCACTCGCTGCTGGGGGGGATGAGCAGCCTTGGCTCTGCCCAAGCCCTGCTCGGCAGTAAGGAAAGCAGCCCTGTGTCATCAGCTCTGTTTCCAGCACAAATCCAGATCACAGCCCCGTGCCAGCTACTGCGGGGAAAATTAACTGCCCCAGCCAAAACCAGCACATTCATGCTGAAAATTCTGCTGTAAACTGGGTGTAAGAGACAACACAAAGTGAGATCGCAAGTTAAAAAAGCAGCAACGAAACCCAAAACTAAGGAAGTAAAATCCTAATCAGCTGGCTTTTATTTTATTATTCTGAATAAGAATATTCTAGGTAATACTAGTGGTACAAAGAGAGGGATAAAGACCTGCATTTAAGCTTCTTTAACAAAATATTTTTTGTCATGTGTGGGCTCAGTTTAATGGATTTTGATCTTATACAATGCAGGGTCATGAAAAAATAGCAATTAAGGTGACTCACAAACAGATTGGGTGGCAAAAAACAGATTGCTGTGGCAATATTAATGGAGGCAGGAACGGACGTTGTGGTAGCTGTAACTGCTTCTACTGTCAATTTTGACATTTCACCTTTCCTTTATGAAAGCCCTTAGAATGTTGGACTAAAAAAAATATGTAGTATAGTCTGTTACTTCTAGCTATTCCTCCACTAATCCATGTTGTTTACAGATTTATCTATACCTGGAATGATTAAAAAAGTGTGCAGACTGGAGAACTCACTGAATTTCAGAAAAAAAAGTGCAAATGGAGAGAGTGAGGCAGTGTATTTTTTATTTTATGTATAACGCTATAGATTAACAACTTGGCGATATAGGTTTCATATTTAGACATATAAATTTCAGTATCCTAATTTGCTTTTCTAGGGATCAAAAATTTGATGTGCTCATGATGTAGCAGCTCATTTAATTTACTACAAAGTACTCTGCAAATCATAACCAAAATCTGGCAGCTTTGTTCAAGAAGAATACAAAAAAATGACATATTTTGTTATATAGTTTCAAAAATAATATTAACACTAAAAAACATTGTTAGAGAGATGATGCATGTTTTTGTGTAAGTAAAAAGGGATATTTTTTATGAACTCCATATTCAGAACTTTTATTTTCAAAACCTGTGAGACTCTGTTATCAAAACAGTTCTTCTATATTGTATGTTTCATTACAGCCAATATTTGTCAGGTAACCTAACTCAGTATCTGGAATACAGAATAAAAACAGATTTACCAAATTAGCTCCTTGAACAACTATATCCAGTTAGAAACACTTTCATGTACTGAATTTTATGCTGAATTCCTAGGTCCATTATTTACTAGGTTGTGCATAGTTCATCACATTAAGAATCTTTCAATAACAAATTTAGAAGTTATGCATGATTATAAAGGAATGCTAATCCTTCATCAGTTCTCTATACAATTACAGCTGTATAATAAAAATTTCCATCTGTTAACTTGGCTCTGTATCTTTCAAAACTTTGGTAAAATTAACTGAAAGTGAAATAAAGATTTTTCTTTTAAATCTATCATGCTCTCTTTTGGTACTAGAAGATTTCCCTGCAGGGGCTAGGTTTAAATTAATCTTTAGACTGCTCGGGAAAGTTTTCTGTAATCATAAAAGCAGTGATGACAGAACATTGTTTTCCAGGGGTTGTCTAATAATAGGACTGGCTCATTTCCAACTTACTAGAGATGTTGTATTAACTATTGCTTCCAGGGAATTAAAGTGATTCAAGATTCTTTATTATGTTGTTGAAATGCAACAAAATAGTAGGGATGCTGAAAAATTAATAATATCCTTAACTTCAAACAAAGCAATTCTGGTATGTGCTTTCTACTTCCTAATTTTGTGATCAAACATGCATTCTGCAATCACTTTTCTGTATGACAGGGCTACTTAGACCCAGTCCTAAATTCATCTGTGAATCTTGGGTCATCAGTTTTTAATACTCATTTTTCTGTGTTTTATTTTCCTCCAACTTCCTCTGGCCTTGCTGAAGTAACTCTAGCATAATAGAAGTGTTGGTTGGAAAAGACTGGTGGAGGTCATCTAGTCCAACCTCCTGCCCAAAGCAGGACAATCACCAAGAGTAGGCAGATGTGACCGTGTTAGCTGACCCATGTAAACCTCCAGGAACTGAGATTTTACAACCTCTTCCACAGCTGCACTGAACCTTCAAAGCTGCTGGCTGTGACTTGCTGTATCACACCAGCCCCCCACTGAGAAAAGTTTGTCAGTATTGTCTTTGTAATTACTCTTTGGGTAGTGGTAGGCTGCCATTAGATGACTTGACACGTTAGCCACCTCTTCACCAGAGTAAAAGAGCCTAGATCCCTCAGTCTCTTGTTACAGATGATGCAGTCTAGTCCTTTCCAGTTTTCTCACATCTTACTTGAGCCGTAGGCCAGATACCTGGGCAAAATATTCTAGGTAAGACTTAACTGTTACCATGTAGATGGAGCAAACCTCTATCTTTAGTTTGCTTGCCGTACTCCTGCTGATGCAAGCCCAGTGTGTGGTTTGCATTGTTTCTAGTGAGAATGTGCCTTCTATTCAACACTCAACTGGCCATAAAACCTCAGGCTTGAGGTTGGGTAGGGTTGGTACTTAAGACAGTCGGTTCCTAGCCTAGTTTATTATAATTCTGTTGCTGGAGCAAAAAGTTGCACTTTACCTCAGTGAACTTTGTGAGTTTCTGTTGGCCCAGTCATCTATGACTTTGCACTCTACTGTTTGTTGTATTGAGTGCTGTGCCTGCTTCCTCCAGTTTTGTGTCACCTGCCAATGCCCTAAATGTATGTTCTGTCTGTCTGCTTTTGTTCTGGTTGTTGAGGAAGCTGTTGGACAACAGCAGTCTCCACAACATGCTCCTCAAAACTACCAGGTGTTGCTCTTTTCTTGATGCTTTTCATCCCTCAGAATTTCCAGTCATCGTAGTCTTACTGACTGATGAGGCTGTTGTCAGTTACTCAGTTCAAGTAGCTGGGTTTTGTGCAGTGGATCTAATAGTTTCGATGCTCCTTGTGGATTTTGTAGGAGAATCCAGTGCTGTTCTTCATTCATTATTTTTTACAAAATAGGTTATTCAGGAGAAAGAGGTTGGCAATGTGCAGTACAACAAACCCACATATGCCTTCAGAGTAAAGACTGTCTTCTGCACCAGCTTAAAGGCTGCCCAAGTTGGAGCAGATCTATTCTTGTGCTTTTTTCTATATTCTTTAGTCTTTTAGTCTTTTGTACTGAGTAGATGACAATCTTTCTCTTAGGGAAGATCATAAAGACTAAGGTGGATGCACCTTTTTATGATTTCATACTACAAATTGCTATATCTTACTTTCTCAACAAGAAATCAGGTGAATGACTTGAATGCCGATAGAAGAATTTAGAGATTCGATTGGTAAAATTGCTGTCTATTGGGTAAAAATCTGTCATTCAGTTTTAAAAACTGAAAATATTTCTCTTAATTTGAACATATAAGAGTTATAATTCATGAAGTTGCTTTTTAGTCATGTTTATTCCCTATACAGAGCCAAATCCTTCAAAGTCTACAAGGAAATACCATTAGGATGCCTCTTGTTGGCATCTCATTTTTTCACACCTGCACTGAGGCTTACAAGATCAATTCTCACCTTGTCATACTCTACTGAAGAATAAAACTACTGTAACTTGGAATCTTGCTGTGGTATTAAATACTTTCACAGATGCTATCCACTGCTTTGAGACTATAGTCAGCTGCTTTAACATAACTTGTAGTCAAAACAAATTTCCTACTAGCTATTATTATACTTTTGTCACAAGAGTAGTTGAATTAAACTGTCTGGCACAGAGTTGGGTTTTCCTGGCAAGAGTTGCATAGCCAGCAGTGGACACTGAGAAATGCTGGCACCAGAATTATTGTATTATCATTAGACACTTGATTTTTAATAGTATTTTAAGTTATTCTAATATTTAAACAATCTTTAAAACCCTCAGATTGTCTCCATCTCAGTTTAAAAATTTGTGTAGTGGTTTTGTTATAAGCCTCAGAGTCCAAAAGACTGTCCTATGCTTGTCTTTAGGAGACTTTCTTGTAGGAAATTGTCTCTATGCTTTGCTATATTAGAAAAATATTTCAGCAGACGAGACACGAGATTTTTTTTTTTCTTTAATTTGCTCACAGTGTTGAACTTACTGTCTTTAAAATAATTATTTTCTAGTTTAAGTTATCTGTTTATCTATATTGAAATCTCAGCTTTATTTTTAATCTTCAGGTTTTCATGAATTAAAAGAGCACAAATTCACTATGTGCTAATCCTTCTGCTCAGATATTGCTTACTTAAGATCATTTTGAAGTGTGAAGTCAATTCTTCCTACTAATTTTATTTGATTAATAAAATTAATTTCCAAATAAATCACACTATCTTTTGGAGGAGTTCAGAAGCTATACACCTGTCTTTCTTGTTGAACAAGAGTAATTCTCTCTTCTTTCATCTGGGGTCTTACAGGCAGACAGTGACCTTATAGACACGAAGCCACATTTCTAAATTACTTACATGCAGCTGTGAAAAAGAGTTTAAAAGTAATTTGAAATAATTAAATAACAAAACAGAAATACTATTAATACCATGGTGACAAAGCACCCAGTAAGAAAAGAGGAGATTTTACTTTTTAGGTTAGGAGTTCCTGAAGGCTGTATTCCAATGAGTTTCCATTCTGTCTCCAGTTTTAAACATTTAGGTCCACTCTCACTGTTTCCATGTCTTGGCAGCGGATTTTTTTAGGTCTTGTAAAAAGACAGCCTTGTCCTGAGGAAGTCCACATGTCTTTTCCTGAGGTATTTTTAAATGTCCTACTCTTACTGCAATAGAAAGAGTACTGGCTCAAAAGTGGGAATGACATTGAATCACTCCAGAAATTAAAACAAATATTCCATAAATGGGTTCTGTAGAAGTGGCATTTTTAAAGTTAGTTACCTTCTTTATATAACTTAGAAAATCCCAACCATGATACATAAGGAAACAAGCTTCCAAGAAGGAAAGTCATTAAGATGGAAAATTCACAGCCAGGTAAGTTGAAAAGTAAGGTGCAAAAGAAGTGATAACTGATTATGGTTAATGGAGGATGGATGTAACAGACTATCTCCTCTCTGCTGGAACTGTATTCAGTGTAAAGACAATAAAAAGGGAAGAGGCCGGGGAACATCCATTCCTATCACACATTATTGCATCCTAGTGCTTGCTACTGAATTGTACAAATACTAATACATTTATTATTGTTTATTATTAAATAATATTTAAATGCAAACATTAAATTCTATAATCCCATAACTATAGTTGTATGTATTTATAATAATATAATATAATTAATTAATAAAAATAGTTAATTTTTAGTATTAGTGGATTAGACATATCTGATTTTTGCCTTTCACATCCTTTGGGTAAGAGAAGTAATGCAGAAATTACATAAAACTACCTTATCTAATTCTTCCCCAGTTCTTATATTTGAAATGAGTGTTTTTTTCAACCAGTATTCTCTCTCTCATAAACCAGTAATTGTCTGAGCTTCTGGTTCAAATTTTTGTCCAGTTTAATCCAAAGTGTATTTGTACTTGCATGTTATTCAAAAGAGATCCACTATCATTTCAAATTGTATTTTACTTATGATAGAAGTATTGATAATATGATACATGTATTATGTAGAAAGAACAGAGCTATAGAAATGAATGACTGAAGAGCAATTTGCTTACTCAATGTATTTTCATAGTTTGAAAACATACTGTATGGGAGTAAAAATATGGAGAAAACTGCTTTAACAGTATTAACAGTGCTAGATAGCAAGTAAAAGTAAATAAGATACAGAATGACATTTTTAACAGTTCATAAGATAAATAAATTTGCAATTATATGTATGCATACATACATTAGTATCTTAGGGGATTTTCTGTCTTCTCCTCATATATATATTTAGTGCTAGTGATCTGAAGGGATTTTCAGTCTTCCATGTAATTCAGAAGTATTTGGTTTTTTTCAGGACATTTCTGAACAATTCTGATGAACATCTTCCTCAAGATTTTTCAAAGGTGTTTTATCATCCATTACACTGGTTATTTTGCATACCATCATCCTGTTCTTCCTTACCTAAGTGAGTATCAAAAGTTGATTGTAGTAAAAGAATCACCAGATAGTCAATATTAATCAAATACTGTTACAACATTTTGAAAAGAGTATAGCTTAATAAATGTTAATTAATATTCTGATTTAAAAACCACAGAAACATTTTTAAAACTAATTGCAGATTTCCCTAATGTTTAAACTTTAAGGATCTGTTAGAAAGGTCATGCTGAAAGCAGTGCACTGTGCAGCTTTTTGCTAGTATATTCATTATGTTTGATATTTGAATTATCTGTGAGATTTTCTTGCTTTAATTAAAGAGTATATAGCTCTTGACAATAGTGTAGTTCAGCACAGTTGCTGTTTTGAAAGACTTATAATTAAAGGGGAGATAAAGAATGTATGCCTCTGTTTATGATGGCTGGTTAAAAAAAAAGGTTCGATATATAAATAACTCATTGAAAAATATGCTGCTTGGTCGTAGTTGATTTTTTGGGAGATTACTGCATGATTAGAGGCAAAAGCTTAATTTCTTTTTCTGTGTCACTGCATATAATGACAAGTTACATATGAGACATATGCTACCAGCTGTGCTGTCATTCCCTTTCTAATTTTGAACCTGAAGCACTCCCACACCAGTGTAGATCCTCTCCTAACCCCTTCACCTCCTCCTCCTCTTCAAAAGTTATTTCCTGAGAGATTTTCACTCTCCAGCTTCATGAAGAGCTGCTTCTGAGAGTTGTTATTGTGTTTTCTGAGAAAGTATTTTTATATTTTGGAGGAACACGTTATCATGAGTGGTGACCCCTGGTGACCCATTGGTGACCAATGTGCTGTGGGTTCATTACCTCTTACCTTACACACGCAGTATCTTGTGCCTCGTACATCCCCGTGTCTTCCCTATGATTTTGTCCCTACGACACAAAGCCTGCAGATCACCCCACACAAGCCCTCACCCCTACCTCCATGTCAGTAGTAGTTATCTCCTTCGCCGGCGCCTCCAGTACCTGCGGAGCCAGAGCCGGGAGGTGCCGGGGCTGAGGCTGAGTTGTGTGGCTGGCTAACCAAAATGCCAGAGCGAGTAACTGCTGAATTCAAAATATATCCTTTTCCCTGCTTGAAACAGTAATTTTAAGTTTTTCTAAAGATTGAAAGATTATGTGTTTTTACCTCTCAGTTGGGCTTCGAGGAAATTTGTCGGTGGCTTTTATAAGTTATGCATGGGTGGAGAAAAAGGAGAGGAGAAGGCGGGGATATAGGAGAGGGAATGACTGCATGATCACTTAAAAAGGGATCTTCTCTATTTCTGGGAAAATTTATGCTTCATTAAAGACTCATTGTAGAAAAGACTGTAAGCTTTTTGATGCCCTCATCCAAGGCCAGTACTCAAAATGTGAATTATGTCGTGAATTATGAGTTTTGGAAGATGACTTCACAAAGTGAGTACTCTCTTCTGCATTAAAGTATGTAAAGCAAATGCTGGTACTCTTTCATTCTGACATAATTCTCCTTTTTGAGGTGGAATTAAGATTTTACAGGTGCTATTTAGGACAGATTTGTCTTGAATAAATAGCAGAAAACTATTCCAGAGCTATCCAGCATTCATATACTTTCCCTGAATGAAAGGTGAGAAAATATACATCTCTTTGACCACCAAATGGGAAAATGGGTCCAAAGAAAGCACACCTCTAAGAAGATATAGTTAGTGTAGCTGTGTGAGGATGGTCCATATATATAAAGCCATGTGTACTGTCCTGGTGATAATTAGTGAATTATGTTGGTAAAATATTTACTGTTTTTGTTTAACAACACACTTTTCACCTGTTCAGAAGAAAACAGTGAAAGACTCTGTATGTAATGAAATAATTTGAGGGTTATATTCTGAGGTGTTCTAATTTTGTTATAGGTTTTACACTGCATATTTATGTCATGGAAGATTTTCTTTCTTGAAATATTGCATTTAGATTATCAACAATACACATTATGTTTAAGTACTGCAGAAAACTGTTTTTTAGAGCATCCTACTTCCTCCTGGATTGTTCTATGTTTCCACTTCTTACATTTAATAAAAATATGTATCTTCACTATGCATAACAAAATTGGAAGCAGAGGCCATTTTACACCTCCCAGCTGTGGCCACCTAATTTTTAACTGAAGACTTCAACCTGGAAAAAATGCACCTATTATTTGCCCTTCCTAAGATTGATATTTCAAGAGAAAGTTTTGCTAGTTCCTGAAATTATTTTGTTTACAATTTCACTATTTAACCAGATTTACTACATTATTTTTCATGTGGAAAAATGGCTACAGTCTGTTTTCTTTTGACTTCAACATCTTTGTCAATGTTGTTAACATAAATTAGCGTTAATGTTTATTTGTCTTATAAAATCTTGAACTTATCATTTGAGGTTTTCTTTTTTTCTATCTTGGATACTAACCAAAATAACATAGTTGGTTATCAAACTAAATAATTACTGATCATTTGTATTACAGTTCCTTTAGTGGTAATTGCGATTCATTCTTTGCTTCATTTGGGATTTATAATCATACCATTTGCAAATCAGGGTTCTGATTTTTTTCTTTTACTGTACAAAACTGAACATTTATATGTGTGATATTTATATGTACTTCACCTTTTGTCACTTTTTATGAGGCTAGTCTTATTTTCACTAGTACTGAGCTACGAGGATGGGAGAACATATGCCTCTCCATATGCACGTTACAAAACTTCTCAGTGCATTTATTGGTGCTAGCTTCATGGCTGTAGGGAATGTCTGCTATATTTTATTTTTCCTCCAAGTGAGTCACACCATTGTACATTTCAATTTGCAAGAGGCTTAAAGAGCCAAGAACTGGTGTATATTACAACATGATAACTTCCCATCTGGTCAATGACAGACAAGTTTTATTTCAACTCAAATATTCTAAAAATGGCATTTATTTCTAAAGTCATTTAAAATATTATCCTTCATAAATCTAATTGACCATATTTGTCCCTTTTCTTAGAGTTTGAAGGCAATGAGTGACCTTGGTAGAGGTGATAATGTGTCGTTCAAGGGAGAAAGAAAATCAGACTGGCCCATGTATTTCATCTGAATTAGTGAAATGTTGAGTTTACTCTCAGCCACAGCACTAATTCTAGTGTGAATATAGTAACTGTTTTAATTTAAACTTGAATTGCAAGCTACTGGTTAGTTCTTAACATGCATTAGAGTTTATAGATATATATAACTAATCTTGAACACACAGAAATTAAGATAATACTATTAAGAATACAAAGCCCTAATGTTGAAAGTTTGAATGCAATATGTGTTTTAAATAGGGAATAGTTACTTTGGCTGCAAGTTCTATCAAGATTTGAGTGTATATTTTTGATAACTATTAAGTGTATATTTTTTATAAATTTTATTAGAATCCAGTATATTCTTATATACAAATATACAATTGTCAAGCTAATGCTACATTATCAGTGATTACATATAATGTACCAGATGAAACTCACAAAGGCTGTACATAAATTTTCACGGCATGTTGCTTATCAACTCATAGGTGTTTGCTTTACTGTTAAAATCCCAGAGGCAGAGGTCATTAAGATGACTATTACTGTACTAACTGTGAAGTTTTGACATAGCAGTGTGATGTAGAAGTCCTGCTGGGAAATGAGGTTATGGGATCTTGGTTTGCTTAAGTTACTTCAAGGTCGCCCTTTAAGGTATGTGGCATACTGCTCTTCTGACAGTGGAAACCTACACACATGTGAGGGACTCAACTGGAGGAGTGTACCAGCTGAGATTTCCCTCCCCAGGCTGTGTAGGTTGGAATTAGGTGTATTGTCTATTTAGCAACCTGGACTGAACAGCAGAGTTTTTATGCAGTCATCTGTGGTTTTTTTTCATGCATACAAGCAGAATTGGGTGGTGGCACACTTGGCTGAGTCGTGGAAGTGTGCGACTCAACGGAGGAGTTCCCCTCCGTTAGAACAGCCGTCTGAACCCATTTTAGCTCTTCTCTGACAGGAAAATGTAGCTCCTGATGAAGAAGGCTTTAACTGATGCTGAAGGTGTGTGTGTACTGGCAGATAATGTTTATGCCTGCATAGTCAATGCGTCAGTGCATATGTGGTTTTTACGCCAATGCATGTAAAATTTATGTGCATAAAATTTTACATATGTGGTGCCTAACCTTTCACGGTTAGCAGCTATTGTTGTATAAACTTGTAGCCAAAATGAATAAGTACAATGGATAGCATCAGTTGAAGTTTCATTTTAAAACCTTCAAAATAATGAAAAATTAAGCTCTCAAGGAAAAAAAACTACCAACAACCCAATTTTGAAAACTTTTTAAAATGTTTCAAGGGGAAGAAAATAGTAAATACAATGGTTGATAAACATCTTGTAGGACAAGATTATTTTTTGTTGCTATTGTTGTTTAATTTTATTGCTCCAGTGTAAGTTCAACAGTTGATGTTGGGTCATTGGCTGAGTTCAGAGGAAGCCCTAAAATATTTTTGTTTGGAAACCTAAACTTTTGCAGAACATGGAAACTGCAAACAGAAAACAAACTGCAGTCACCTTAAAAGCAAATGAATTTGTACTGTGCTTTCTCACCTCTCCCTGCTGGCCAAGCACTTATCCAACCAGTCTAATATTTCAGGTGGACTTTTCTGGATGTGTAAGAATTGGTCAACTTAATATGGAATTGTGCAGCCCCTTTGAACATCCTCTGTTTTTATAGTTAAGTGCTTCATATACTTCATCAAGGACAATTCAGAGCTCTTACTAAACAATTAATGTAATAGTGAACTAACGAATAATAGTCTTAAATTTATTCAAGCACAAAAAACAAAAATAATCCTTTTTGCCTGGTAGAACAAGGCAAACATGGTTCCATGAAAGAGATAAGTAAGGTTGCTTTGTATCAGTTATAACTTTGGCAGACTACCAAATGTTAATTTGCTTTTAGCTAGTTGAGATTAAATGTAATTCTTTCCCTGAGCTGCCTTAAAGTAAGCAAGCATGAAAGCGTTTTCAGAGTAATCTGGGAGGAATTGACATTTAAGGGAGTTAGCATTACATCTGCACTTTAAGGATATTAATTTCATAGATAAATTAACTACATTATTCTGTCTTTATCTTACATTTTGAAAGGACTCCATCAGCCAGAGAAATGGCAGCCCAGGGTCAGCTGAAACTGCTCTTATCCCAGCCGTACTGCAATTTGAACTTGCTTTTGGAAACATTGCTACATCATGATTGTCTCTTAGTGAAAATTTTACTGAGAAGTTCAAGTAAGTATTTATACTGTCAATCCTTATAAGACTATCAGTGAGAAACATAAATTAATTTTTAATTACTTAAATACTGAAGGAGGGCTGTCAACAATTTTTTGGGGCTTTCAGTAGCCATTCAGTTATCAGTAGGACACTTCTTGAATGTGTAAAAAGACAGAAAAAATCATTGCTTTTTAAATGAGAATGTTTTGCAGTCAATCTGAGTATTCGTAGTTTTAAAGCAGTCTACAATTTGATAAAATAGGCTGCTATTGTAAATGCAAAGGAGTCAAAATGAATTTGAACTTAACAGAGCTTTGATACCAGGACTGCTTTACACAGATTTTGAAAAGTGTGGATTAGTAGTCTGAAAGACCACTTTCAAAATTATGTTTCAACTGTGAAAAGCTTCTTAGAGGTTTTGTTTAAGTTATTATAAGTTTGTCACTGTAGGCACTCTAGAAGTGCATTTATATGCTTCCTCATGTTAATACTCTCATTGATGCCATTATGAAAGTAGAACAAATGAAAGAATGGCCCTACAAGGTTTTCTTTTCATTCTGCTATTATTGTGTTTGAAGCAATAAACTTTATCACATCTTTCCTTTTAATAGCTTTGGGATCAAATAATCAGATTGTTGAAAAGCTAGTGGTGTGATCACCTGTTTGACATAATTTTGCAGTAAAGGTGAACGAGAGTCTCAGTTTCTATCTTTCTTTAGCAAAAGAATTCTTCCTTCTTAGAAAAAAACCCCAAAACTGTTGGGTCCACATAATATTAGATATAACATAATTTAGTTCTGTCACTTTAAAGTGGTCTAACATTTGTCAGAGGTACAACACTGCTTCCACTTCTGTCATGCATCTTTCGAGAGCTGCACTGCATCCACTTGCCTATTCAAATACCTGTCATGTCTTACAAAGACTGACAAATGTTTTTTTCAGGATCATATTCTTACCTTGAATTTTACTAGCTGCTTAAATTATCACAGGTATTAAGTGACAGAACGTATTAATCTATTGACTGACCGACCTCTTGAGCTTCGGGGAAAATATATGCTACCTGGAATTAGAAAATGTGCTATTTACACAAACTTTATGATTGTAATTACAATATTGGTATGAATACACTTTCAGTTTAGATAAAGTTGAAACCTGCGATGATCCATATCTGCTAAATTAATTTCAGTAGGGTTAATTATCTAATGATAAAATTATTGTATTCTTTATTCTTATACAAAGTTACAGAATTATGTACCCAGACAAAACAAACTGTTTTGCAATTTTCTTGGTGGAATTTTTTACCAGAATTGCTTTATCATCCATGGATATGAAATAGAAATGAATTATTTTGACAAGCAACAAATAATAGAGGAACAAAGAAAGTAGTGCTTGCACAATATGAGTTACTGAATCCAGCAAACGCTGATATGGAAACAGGAGAGGTGAAAGTGAACTCTGAGGATTTCTGCTAGACTTGCTTTAAATGCACAACATGCCAGCAGATCAGTCTGTGACCTCTCATTTGACATTCTTTATTTCCAGGAAGCAGGACTTATTATTTACATAATAAAGCAAAAAACAATTTCTTTGTTGAATTACACTGGCCCAACGCAGCATTAATATCCAAGGGAACCTCATCAGTCAACAGACACCTCACCGTTTACCAATAAGAGATAAGACAAAGGTCACTGAGAAATCATCAACAAGGCACATCCGAGGCCTTCAGTCAGTCCTTGGGCCTCACGTATACTTTTATTTAAGAAGAAGAGGTGGTAGCACCAAGTTAATGATGTACAACAGAAAAAGGAATGTATTCCTTTTTAAAAAAAAAAAAAAAATCTTATTCATTACAATGAATACATGAGACTCCAGTTGTTACAGGAATTAAATTTCATTTTCTACACACAACTTTAAAGTGAATACTGGCATGTAGAGATAAACTGGAAGAAAACTGCTTTCACAGCAGTACAAGGCCATTGGCAGTTTCACCTAATGTTTTTGGCTTGCACAGTGCATATTTGAGAGACTAATGGAAGAGGGTATTGTGTAACCTGTACAGTTAAACCTAGATGATATCCTGGTCACCACTAAAACTTTGAAATGAGAACTGATAGTAACATTTGCAAATATTCTGTGATAAGTTTAAGGCTGCAGATCTGAAATTGGACCCAAAGAAATGTGAGTTGCTTCAAAAAGAGATAATTTACCTTGCACACATAAGGAGGGTGGGGAAGGGAGGATTTCCACTGAGAAAATAAAACAGTGCTGCAGTATCAGCCAGCTCCCTAGACACCAATAAATATGAAGAGTTTTCTAAGACTGTACTTTTAGAAACTGTTTTCTGGGGAAGAGAAATTACTTCAAAATATGTTTGTAGAGTGGAAACGTTTTGTTTTTTTTTTTCCCCATTTCAATTCTTTGCCCACTGTGAAGCAGCTCTTTAATTGCAACAATGTATAGTGTGGCATTTTAAGGTAAATTTTAAGAACTAATTAAATAGTACTTAATTTTATTAATTAATTTTTCATTAAATTTAATTACATTTCCTTAAATTTAATACATTTTAAGTATTTAAAGGTAAATAGAACTGATTTTTTGTAAATTACCCTGAAAGAACAGTGAAAGGTGGCAACTTTACCAACTGATGTCACTTAGACTGAACTTTCAGCAACAGCAGTGATTTATTATAAAAGAAAATGTACATTTTTAAATAAATTGCCATCTCCACTAAAATCTTGTTATTGGCTAAATCTGTATAACAATTTAAATCTTTTAATTCAAGTACCTGAAGGTCATTATTTTTGTACTTTTGTACTACAGTAATAACTTCTTGGATTTAATAATCCTGAGATGCAGTCTATCAGGCAGCTGCAAAAACCAGCAACTGTGCTAGTCCCATGGCTCAACCACACACAATTTTGGGGAAATACAGTCTTGCAGGTTTTTTCACAAAATGTAGGGGTTAATCTGCAACACTGTCCTCATTAGGAGAGCACAAGTAAGTCTCTTAGAGGAATTTATATGCTTCTGCAGATAGCTCTCTCTTCCAGATATTTGTGGATCATCAGGATGCAGCTTGTGAGTACAGACTTCAGAACAGCTGGAAGTTTTCTTACCTTCTTCATGACAGCAAACTGTATCGTGGTAGCCTAACAACAAAAGATTAGAAAATTATTTTTAAAGTGGCATCTCCTCAGCATATCCATCTGACCAGTAAATTTACTGGATACTATACCTGCATAACCTATGTGTTAAAATGGTAGAGGAGTTTACTGGCATGATGTACTTCTAGCTGAAAGATCAATAGAAAAAGGACCTTAATCAGATATCCTATTCTTTTGATGGCTTTCCAGTGATAACTAGAGAAAACAGTAAACAGATTTTATAGAATGTCTGAACTATTGAATAGGAGTTTCCAATTGTGACTGTAATAGGGCCCTGCTAGGAGTCATATACCTCCTCTTGACAAAGTGTGAAGATAGTCTCTGTGACTGGGGTAGATGGTCATACGGATAGCTTTTCAGAGACCTCATCATTTCTGGTAGGAACTTCTTCCTATTGTAGAGCTCTAGACAGAATACATTTTAAGAGGATAACCTGTTCAGTATCAGCCCAATACATGGAGTAATACAAAGGCCATAGGACTAAATTCAATATTGCCTCATCAAATTTTGCCTTCCACAATGCCACAGTTTCAGCATACTATCCCATAAAGTCAGTGCTGGAGGTATTCCAATATTAATGATTTTTTTCTATTTGACACAGGTAAATAGATTTCACAGAAGCTGTTACCCAGGGATTCATTAGAGGAAGCTTCTTCTCAGATAGTTGAAAATGAAATATTTAGGGAGAAAAAATTCTGAAGGGAGTTGAATGAGAGTAAAACACTATGGGATTTGTGACACATAAATATATAGGCACAGAAGTAGTTGGCTGATATGTTAATAATTTATGAGCAGGTGATACAAAGTTTGTTTAAGTCTTTTTGTCTTGCATTGAGCTTTTAGTTGTCACAAATTTAGGATTCATTGGATTTACAGGCAGCAGCTAATAGAGGGGATATTACTATTTGGGTCTTACTAAATAGACATGGGTAGCGTTAAGATCGGCATTTCATTCAGGATAGAAGTAATATGATCTAAAATTTCTTTTTGGAATTAAAAACTAAAATAATAGACTTTCTGCCAAAATGAAGTCATATTCAAAGTTACAATAGATTCTAGCTGTCAAGACTGACTGGAGAATGACTGCATTGGAGAGGTGCAACTCTATGAGAGACGAGTAAAATGATCTACCAGAACAGATACAGAAAAATAATAGAAAAAAAACCCAGTGACAGAAGGAGCACTGAGAATATAGTGCAAAGAAGCAAGTAGTATAGAGTGTCTGCTGAAAGATTTGGTTCTATAAACAAATAAAATATATCCTTTTTGCATTCTTTATATCCTCATCAGCTGCTGTGATATAAACTATAAAGAAAGCAGAAGCTTTATGCTCTTTGCAAATAAAAGAACTGTATCAGAAATAACTTGCTCCAGCTTCCGTTTCTCTTCCTAAATGAAACAGCATGTATAAATTTGAATTTTGACTACCTCTCTTGGTCAAAAAAGACAACATAACTGTTTATAGCTTGTCTGTCTTGTAAGGATTCACCAGGGAAGGAGAAATCTAGAGTCAGTAACAAGATTTTCTAAATTCAGGAAGATTCATTTCATGGTTAAACCGGTAGCAGATAAGAGCTGGATGAGTGTGATAATGCCAGCAAGTTACTGGGAGGTGTTTCTATCAGTAAAAAAGAAATATGGATAAACTACACTTGTAAGCCTGCCTCTCTGAAGATATGTTTTTAAAATACATGGTACTATCCCAAGAGGTTAAGTGCATTATTTTGTCATAGGAAGAATGATTCATTGTGACTGGTTAGTACGTAGCTGTTATTCACTAGATACATAATTTTCTTATAAAGATATATATTAATAATATTCATAACTTTTTATATATTTTGGCATCCTCTGTGCTTATGGAACATTATGCTATATGGAAATAGCAAATAGCAGATTTTCTTTAACAGGTACCTAAGATAAGTATATAGCCATATTTATGTATGGATGTAAGTCCTGCTAAAATGAAAAGGAGTATCTCCTTTGAGCTACCTATAGCAGCCTTAGATTCCCTTCACAGATTAGCTTTTGATACACAAATGCAGTGAGTGGAAAAAAGAGAAATAAATATAGGGAAGCATCAGTGGGCAATAAGTATGATGCCTATCATATAAATACTGTTCTTATGTGATGATTAACAAGAAGGCTGCACTGGAGTTCAAACTAATGTTATGACAGGTAAGCTAATAAAAGTTAAAGAAAAATTCTAAGGCAAGAGAAGTCTACATATCTTTCTGTAGACTCCTAATTCATAATATTTAACCAGCTATACTGATCAGCTAGCTAAACCTTTCAACCAACTGACATTATCCTTCAAGGTCCCTTCCAACCAAAAATGTTCTACAATAGTTATGATCCATGCCCATTTATCAGTCAGAAAACACAGTTCAGCCTGAGCTTTGAAGAGTCAGACATTCTTACAACAGGGGCAATATTTACTTCAGGGTATGTCATGGTTTAACCCCAGCCAGCAGTTAAGCACCACACAGCCACTCGCTCACTCCTTCCCTCCCCCCCCGCCCTCAGTGGGATGGGGAAGAAATCAGGAAAAAAAAAAAAAAAAAAACAACAAACCACTTCATGGGCTGAGATAAAGACAGCTTAAGAGGACAGAAAATGAAGATAATTATAATAAGAAGAAAATGAATGATAATTATACTAATAAAATATAAAAAAATCCAAGTGATACACAATGCAATTGCTCACCACCCTCTGAGCGATGCCCAGCCACTCCCCGAGTCGTCGTGTCCCCCAGCCAACTCCCCCCAGTTTATATAATGGACATGATATCATATGGTATGGAGTACCATGATATCATGGTTGGTTGGGGTTGGCTGTCCCGGTTGTGGCCCGTCCCAGCTCCTTGTGCCCTCCAGCCACTCGCTGCCAGGGCAGCAAGAGAAGCTGAAGAGTCCTTGATTTAGTACAAACACTGCTCAGCAGCAGCTAAAACATCCATGTGTTGTCAACATTATTCTCACCCTAAATTCAGACACAGCACTATGCCAGCTACTAGGAAGAAAATTAACTTTATTCCAGCTGAAACCAGGACAGGGTAAAACAAGAAAAAGCTGGTGGAAGCTTACATATCTTGTTATGTTTAGCCTCAGAGTGGTTTCCCAGTGGCTTTGTGAAGGTTAAAAGCACAAGATTTGTATTATACACTAGTTATAAGAAGATACAAGCCCCTGCAGAATTCTTTCATACTTTCTTCTATTTCTCTAAATGTGTTGGTAGCGCTAAGTTGATTACAAAAGTTATTAATAAGTTCTGACTCAGAATTTCCATATGGCACAATCACAAAGCAAATTTAGGCTTCATTTCAAGTCAAAAGCCCCTTTAAACAAAGCAATTTCCCATCATGTTCAGGAAAGGCAGTTTACATAATATTTACAATCTCAGCAAATCCTCATCCCTAGAATTTGGTTAAATTAATTTAAAAAAAAATACTTACATATAATCAAAATTCAATTCAAATTTTCATCTCACAATTTGAATACCTCTGGGTTTTTGTTTTTGAACTGCTTTTTCTGCTTTCCTGGTTATTTCTTTGTCATATCCCTATTAGACAACATATCACTGGTTTGAGCGAATTAGCAGAATCCATTTGATTCTTCACTCAGAAGCATCTGGCATTGGAAGGTGTCTCAGCAAAATATGCCAGCTCACTCAACTCATAAGAAAAAAGCTGACTAAAAAAAAAATCTTATTGCTGATCTGTCTCCTGCCTTAGGAAGAAAACCCACAGCTTGTTGGTTATGAAATCACTGATCTTGTTTTTCAGCTTTCTACATCCTATGGGTTGTTTCTATTAAGGTTGCACACTACTCAGACTGAATGGTTTACAATAATCTGTGAATTAGATTGTAGTAATTCAGAGGAGAGTAAAATGAGATTTTTGAATTTTACATTCCCAAGTCATTCAGAGCTGGGTGGAAAACAGCAATTTTCCACTGTGGTAGATTTTGAAGGCTGTTTGAACCACTAGAAAAATTCAGCCTAGAAATTTAGTCTCTCCCATCTTTCTCTTTCACAGGTTGCTAAAGATAAGGGCAGCCAAACTGGCATCAGAAAATTACATTTTTCAAGTATGATTTTATCTAAATGAGTTTAACAGAAACTTTCAGTTTTGCAAACTAGAAATTAAAATAAAATGTGTTTCATTGATTCTGTCTCTGGTCATTTGTTATGACTGTTAACATCAAAAGCATATTCCACAAAAATGTGGGAAGCTGAGGTCCTTGACATTAGCACGGGTCGAAGCCATTGAGTTGCATTGGTTCAAAGAGGTTTAAGCACATCATTACCTTTCAGCTAGGAGAATGTTTTATAATGATTATGAAAAAAATTTAGAAATACATGTTATGTAATCTGTTACCACTCTATGAAAATCACTAGTTGTCTTTAAAAACATAAGTATCTTGTGCCTTAGCAGGGCTGAGATTTTGTTTGGCAGAACTGATTCCTTCTCTGTTTCATCTTATGGTGAAAAACAAAGACAACCTATTTTGGGGAGTATGCAGCTGATACTTTATTTTATTTTATTTAATTAAATAGAGTTCTGTTATTTCACGTGACATATATTGGTAAGAGGAGTTAAGCAGTAATAACCTTTTGACTGATTCTACAGAAGTAGTACAATTTACTTCTGATTAATATTTAGTAAATAATGAAGTTCCAATTATATACTGAGTGCATTTTGAACTAAATAGGCATATTCCATAGTTTGTAAACATGTTTCAGTCTTTTTTTATAATGACTACATATAATTCAGGAAGACAGTCAAGTGTCATTATGCAGAGAAAGATCAGATTTTAGTGTCTGTAAGTATTATTGCTTGAAATATTATTCAGATATAGTTTGCAGTTTGTTTTGATTAATACTATCTATTACCGTGAACTTGAATTACTTGGAAATTATTGTAACCATGTTTTTGTTTATTTTGAAGGAAATGAAGTATTGAATCGTGATGAAAAAAGTTCTCTCCTAGAACAGATAAATAACAGAGAGCCTACTCTGATTGAAACAATCTTCACAGTATTGTCTTACTGCACTTTATCACCCAAATCTCTTGGCATTGCTTTTGAGACCTACATGGAAAAAGAGCACTTGTGGAATTACTTATACAATATGACAGGTATTTAATTTATTAATAAGTATTTAAAATCTGATGTTAAATCTTGTTAGTTTTCAGACATATAGCACATATTATTTTTACCTTAATACATAAGATGAACTGATGGTCGCTTACTTTTAAATTATAGTATAATCGAAGTGTTTTGAGCAACCAGGTCATGGTGCGATTGGTGAAAATTTTGAAGAAAGCAGAGGTTATGGAGCAGTGTGGTCAACCAGGAGTCTGATTTCCTTTGGTGTCTGTCTTACCAGTAGGCTGGCAGCAGATGTTTCTGTAGCTCTCTACCAATACATATTCTCTGTCTCTGTGTATTTAATAGCTGCAGACCTTCGCATGATTTAAAAGTACGAAATGATTAAATACGAAAAATAAAAGGAGGGACTCCTATTGAGGCAGATGTAGTCTGATGGGCATATAGACTCTGCTGTCAACAGACAGACAGGCTCCTGAACTTCCATGGAGAGGGAGAGCTGCACTCACAGTTAGAGCAGCTAACTCTGCCCCCAAGGAAAAACAGTATTCAACCAGAAAGGAGGGGTGAGGTTTAGAAGGGTGATCTTGCAACTGATGACTACAATGCTGGAAGGATCAGGGAAAAAAAAAAAAAAAAAATAGAAAGGAAGAAAATGGAATGAGAGAATGTAAGAGGGGAAATAGAATTACAAATATCACAAAATAGAAAATAGTGGTGGTAGAAGTGCTCAGGTATTCCTAAGAGAAATAGAGGATTGCAAAAAGTAGAAGTCTAAGTTGTAAGAGGAAGCAAAATACCGAAATATTGCATGGAAGCTTCCAGAAAGGCCATGCAGAGAAGAATTAAACTTAGATCAGCAGAAAGTACAGACAAGCAAAAGTATGAGCGAAGGACCCAACACATCAAAAGACACCTCTGATACGTCCTGCAGCACTCTGCCTGACAACTGCTGCTCCATGGCAGTGAGGAAACTGCAATTCTCCGTGACATTAAGAATGTGGAGAAGATTGATACTTGTTGTAATGTCAATAACTGTATTTAGGATGGTCTATTTTCAACATACAATCTCTGATAACATGCTATGTCTCTGTTGATGACTATTATTTGTATGCATTTTTGTTTTCAAAATATCTTTTTTTCCTTCGATGTTCTCTAGTGTAACAGTTTCGGTATCCAATAAACGTAACTTCATTAATACTATTAAGACAAGGAAATAGAAGAAAATGGGTATATCCATTTGCCTTATTGATGCCTAACAAGTAATTAAATGTACTCCATAAAAAAAGGAAGACATCAGTTACCTTAAATAAAATTTTTAGAAATATATTGATGGAGAAATGAAGATGATGGAAATAAATGAAATTGTATTTTTTTTGTCAGTACTGTATTAAGATGGTACAAGATGCTATATTGTTCTGTTTTATATTCTCTTTAATTTGTAACAGACCAAGAGGCTTAAGTTATTATGAATCATAATGTTTTCACTTTTCTTTCCATAAGAATTCTGAAACACTTTTTTCTGAAACAGTTTTACACAAATTACTACACTTACTGAATATTTATTAATTCTTCCTTCTGAAGTTTCCAGTTGTGGTGAGTTGGAGCCAGAGGTTATCAGATGCTTGAAGTTGACTTTGATTAATTCAGTCAAGGGTATAGTGAAGCAGATGATTTCTTTGATGCATTCATGGGAGGCAACAGAAAACTATGGAATGTACCAGCACAAGCAAATAGTTCTTGAAAGTTTACTGAAAACGGTTCCAAAGGAATGGAATTACACTCCTCAGGAAATGAAGAGGAAAGAGTCTGGGAAATGTGGGTGAAATTTATACTGTTTTATAAATTTGCCGTAAAAGCTTGTTACCCCTTTAATAAGTACATATCAAAATTGAAGTTATAATTCATGAACAATGCAGTTTGACAATAAACAAAACAATTTCCAAGCATCCTGTGTTTTTTTAAAGTACTTAGCATTAAAATTCAGTACCTCTTTCTTGAGGCTTACACCCAGGCATACACAAACAACCTTTTTAAAATAATCAGTATTGTAGTACTGATAATAATAGTACTGAAAAATATTTTCAGCATCTAGAAGTAGCAAGATGGGATTCAAGGCAGAGTAAAGCATAATGTCTTATGCTCTTGTCTTAATGGCTGTAACCAGTTCTTCTCTTAGTTATCGTCTTTTCAGTCAAGATTGTTTAAATTTAAATGTCTGAAATGATAACTACTTATTCATCCCAACTTTACAACAGCAATTTATGTATGAATAGCACTGAAACTGGTATGGAATTTGCTACTGCTTGGTTGTTGAAACAGTTAGTGAAGAAATAAGAATTATATATGTAATATGAGATGTTTTGAAAGCAATTGATGTAAAGATTATTTCTGGTATATATTTTCATAGTCTTCAGTGCCTAAAACCTCCATTTCAAAAGGCTAGCTTTTGGAAACATTTCACCATAAATTTATTGCCACCACAATGTTACCTGATTATTTTCAGTACAGTAATATCACTGTAGTATATTCTGGCATGAAGTTTTGAATATGTAGATTGTGGGCAAGCCTGGGCACCAATCCCTTCTTTCTTTCCATATATTTTCTTCTCAGCACGTTAAGACACATTTATGCAGTAGTGTGCTCACTGCAATCTCACTTTAATCTAGAATTTGTGTGGCTATTCTAGGCTATCACTAAGCCTGAACTGATATGCAAGCAGAGAGGTGAGGCTCAGACTTAATGAGAAATTAAATAGGCTATGTGGCACCTAGAACAGAGCTGGCTTTTCTTTTTCTTTTTTTTAAACAAGTTGAGAATACAGGTGCAATGAGTCAGGGGTTTCCTTGGTTTGTGTGGGGTTTGTTTTGGTGTTTTTTTGAATCTTGACTCCATGATGTAGATCACATTTTGATACAATTTTTTTCATTTTAGATATGTCTTGGGTTTTAAGCAGCAAATTTTCTGTAGTTACTTCCATAGCTACTTTTAATATCTGAAATGTTTAAAATGCAGTGCTAGTGTGCATGCTTACATGAAAGTTGATAAACTGAAGTTTTATAGGTTTGAAAGGGATTGATAGAAAACTAAAGATTATGAATGTATGCAATATGCTGAGACACTTAGTGCAATGCTCCAATTGTGAAGTTGAAAAAACATTACACTACAATTTTGAAGACAACTTTTTTACTATTCAGAATACCTGGTTGTTGTCTTTTTCATTTATTCTGTAATAACTGTGCACAGTAGGACTAATTGTTAAGAGAGTCACAGTCTGAATTCCACAATTTCTAGGTTCTCAGTTTTTAATTCATGTTATTGTTTAGATTTCGTGGGATTATGTGGAGGAAGCACAATGGAAGTCAAGCTAGAGTGTTGAGTACTTAAGCTTTTTCCCATTTTCAGTACAAAAGAAAGTTAGAAATTATCATACAACATTCAGAAGCATGCTGTGATAGAACTAGAATGTTAATGTTAATCATATCTTCTTTTCTTTCTTTTTTTAAGGCTTCACAAGGCTTGCAGCTCAGGCAGTATCTATTGTAATCAGCAAGTTACCTACAGTGATTGCATGTTTGCCTCCCCCAATTAAGTACTTCTTTTTTCTGGCTGAGAGAAAAATGTCAAGAAACTTTGCTGAATTGAAGAAAGCTGGCCTGCTTGTCTGGAACTTGATTGTAATTATATGTCGGATATTTGAGGATGGAAATACTGCAGAACTTTTAACAGGTGCAACACTTGACAGATGGAGCAAAGAAAAACTCAGTTTAGTTCGTGTGTGCTTAGAAAGTATTATGGGAAAACAGAAAAGTGGTCCTAAGCAAGTGACCCAGAAGGTTATACAAAGCATTGAACAGCAAAGACCAAACTGGATTGAAAGCCAGTTGCTGAAGGCAAGAAAATTGAGCACAGACTGGTAAGTACGTAGTATTTTTCAAATGCTGTTGTTTGTTCTTTATTTTACTGGATTGTTGGCATGTACATGGCTATTGTTCAGTTTAAAAAACAATAGGTGAACAGGGATTTTATATGAAATGAGTTAGTCCTTAATATTGATGGGTTTATAGAATGTTTTTGCCACTTAATAGCATTGTTGAAACAGTAAACCATGGTTGTTTCATCAGAACAGTATCTTCATTGTACTTGGAGATTTCATATTTTCATGATGATCCAAAAATGTGGACAGTTTAGTTGATGTATCTTTAAGAATGTGAACAGGTACACTGACTAGAAGGCACCACGATTTATTTATAAATTAATTTCGCTATGGTGGTTAAATTAAGAGGGACTATGAAAAGCTTTCAGTGTTCATCTGTGATTAAAAAGTAAGCATATTTCATTTTAAAACATAACAAACCCAGAGGGCAAGTAGGATATATCAAAACAGGACAAGGAGAGTACCCTGCTGTGCCTTTCTGAGGAAATACCAACCTTCCCTGCAGATTTGACATTAAGGTTTGAGTGTTTTAAATCCTTAGAATGGTTTTTCAAGGAGTTGTGTACGTGTCAATGTGTTCCTAATCCAGCCTGTTTTAATGTTGAAGTTGTGTACCATTCCGTAAAAATACTATTCATCAGCTTTCCAATATTAGATTTATTGGAGCTACATGACTTACTGAATTAAATTGTTGAGTACTGCAAGTGAGATTGTTTTGGTTTTTTTTTTTTTAATGAGTATTCTTGAAGGTTGCAGTCATTGCTATCCTGACAGTAATTGTCCATACAAACAAAGGATATGGCTATTGTAGGTCAGAATCACTGATAACAGTGAGCAGACTTCAAGCAGTGCTTTAAGGGACGATATCCTGTTTCTACGAGCAGTCAGTTAACATGAGTAGCACTAAGCAGTAATAATGTCACACAAATGCTCATTGACATTGACCTTTGTAATCTTTATATTTCCATTTAATACTAATTTACAAGCTCTAATCCAGTGATTAAAAGATTGAAGCCAGATGCCAGCAACTGAAAGAGTCATAGAATAAAAACCCCATAATGATAATGTGTAAATTGATACTTAGCAGAATGGTTCCATAATACAATTTCTAATGTCACTGAGAGAATAGGTATTTTTTAAAAATTACAAATGCAGGGTAAGACAATATTGTGGATAAACTCTAAAAACTAAAACTTTAGTATTTGCACTTCTTCTGAAGCTGAGAATTTTAAATTCATATGCTACTCCATTTTCTTTTCTAACATACAGCAAAAATTCTGTATTATCCATCAGGTATCAGACTGTAGGAATGTGGGAAAATTGTTTTCTGTCTGTGTAGTATCAACCAAAGTGAGAACTATTTTGTGACTGAGGCTCCTAATTTTGAGCTTAATAAACTGAAGAATGCATTACCTGTTCTCCAAGTGGGTAGTTATATGATGCAGTTATGAAATTAAGTCCCCTGACTTCAGTGGGATTTCTGCAATACAATTCAAGCATAGATGTCATTTTTCCATTTTATGATCAAATATCATGATTCAATTTGTTGGAAAAAAAGAATGTAGTTAATAAATAGCTGAGATATCTAATGTAGAGATAAACTATTATTATAAATGCAAATTATAAAACTAATATATTAAAGCTGAAATTCAAATAACAATTAAACTAAGTATTGGTCACATAATCACTAAACTAAAAGCAGATCTTTCAAAAGGAGGCTTGTGAAGTTTGCATGATTTGTTTGAAATAGGAATGATTATATTTGAAAATCTAAGTTGGTGTGAAATTATGTTCTGTATAACCTTTTCATAATTAAAGGATTTTATGGGTAATTGCATGTACATGCATTCATATATATTATTATTTATAAATGTTTATAGACTTCTAATAGATACAGTATGTGGAAGAAAATAAAAACCATACATTTCAAAAATTTATTTGGGATTCACCTACACAGTTGTGGAAACATCTTTGAAGTGCAGTGGATATTTATAAGCTTGATTTTGTGCTACATTATTCTTATCAGACCTGCTAGCTACATAAAAAATCTAAATACTAGGTAGGTTCTTCCATTGTGGCACGCAAATTTAGCTTAGTTTTTAGAAAAATAATCTTCAGTGGAAGGTTGAGAAAGTGGCAGTCGTACGCATTGCCTGTCTTGTGTACTGCCTGAAAGCATTACTATTCATTAAAATTACCTTCACTTTATGGTAGCACCAGAGCTGTAAACAGTCACGTTAGATTCTGAAGAACACGCTTCCCGAGAAGAAAAGAAATGTCTGTCTTTGCAAAGTAATTTGTTGAGTTGAAGATTATTGTTTTTCATCATGGTGACCCTGACTTGGCTGGCTGGGTGCATATACAGATTAAGATGAATGCAGTTATTCCTTGGCTGAGGTCTGTCTCTTTCAGGGCACATTCTTCCTAATGACATGATTGATAGGCAGTCCCAAATCCAGAGAGGAACTCATTAATCACAGCGCTGACTGAATCCAATCATCTGCTTCACCTGCACAGTGACGGACAGGAAAGGATACAATTTGGGTGCTGACACTGATACACTCCTTTGTCAGAGGTCCTCAACTTTTTCAATGTCAGTGGCTAAGAAGTTTGACAAGAAATTCAGGTTGTGCCTGTATGTGGCATTGAAAGATCAGCCTTAAGCGTGCTTTAATTTTAAAGATCAATTTCTTTGGAGCTTTTCTGTAAAATAAACCATAATAACAGAGTATCGCTTACTTCCATTCAGCAAAGTACAAAATTATAGTTTATATTTTGAAACTATTTGCTCTGTAGGACGTTCTGGAGCTGCATGTGGAAGCAATATTGGCTTTAATGTCCAGCAGCTGTGTAGCATTTAAGTGAGTTTGCAGGTCAAACAGCAACTTTCAGCAGAACTAACTTTGTAATCATGGCACACTTTCAACAGTAAACTGCAACTTACAGCTGACTGTACCAAAGTATTCTGGGGTTTTTTTGGTTTTACTTCTAAAAAATTAAAATACTGAGGTTTTTTTAAAATTCAAAATGCTTCTTTGGTATATTTTAAATTAATCCGGAGGTGACTGTAGAAGGGATAATATATTCTGTTAGCCTTTCAAGTTCTTGACACATGTGTCAAGGTGCCAGCATATTATCTCAGGAAAATAATTCGTTTTATTAATTTTTTTCTTAATATTTTATCAATGTACAATACTAAACAAGTACAGAGCTGGTAATTTATGATTGTATGAAGAGACATCATTCTAACAGTGGTCAGAGTTTTGAATGCATATTTTTCATGTCATTTGGGCCTGTAAACTTCAGATGTTTCTGTAGCAGCACCACATAAATACTTTTAAGAAGAAAACCAAGGAACAGTACAGGGCAAAAAGTGCAACAAGTGGCAAATAGGTACCTTTATAATGGTTACCACCACACCAATGGGAAGAAAAAGACTTCAATTTAAAACTTCTAACCTATACTTAGAGTAATGGCTACCTTTCTGACATGTTAATTAGGCTTTAACATGTGCAGCGACAGGCAAAGAAAAATGTACAAAAGATCGAATGCAAATACCATTTCTGGTAGCAAAGATACTTCTCTAGTGGAAAAGAAAATTAAAAAATATTTGCTACTTGTATGTCCTTAAGGTAAAGAATATTTTATGTTTTCATCTTTCAGACTAAAATAATTAAAATTTGTATAATAACAAAATGTTATTTAGCATTTATTATGTATTTGTATAAAGGCTTATGAGGTCCATATACAGCAACATTTGTTTTGTGCAAGCCAAATCTTTGTAAGTTTTTTTAGCATGTAGTTTTAACTGACTTTGTATAAGTGTTTGATTTTTAGAAATTTAACTTAAGAATATTTGCATCTTTTCTATATTCTAGTGCCTCAGTCACAGTAGAAGGTGCAACGTTAGGGGAAGGAGGTATTGCACTTGGATTCACTGAGCAGAAAATAAACATGATGGTCCTGGATATCTGCCACAAACCAGGTGGCAGCGAGTACCTGAGGCAAATTTATCACATCATCCGGCTCAATGAGGTAGGGAAACGGCCTTTTTACCGAGCAATTAGGTGTGTACTGGCCTGAGGCAGCGTCTGCTGGCAGCTAAGGGTTAGTCAAGGAGGTGATAATGCTTCTTAAAGTCAATATGAAATCCTATATTGTATTGTAATAGAATCCATTCAGTTTAGGCTTTTCTGCATTTGTACAGAAAAGATTACTTTATGGGAAACAGTGTAGATTTTATTTATGTACTTAAACAGTAGTATGGCTCATAAACTTCCTTCAGATTCATATTCGAGACCATAGATACATTTTAGGAGTTTGCACACAGTGAAAAAAATTTATATTAAAAAAAAAAAAAAAAAAAAAAAGATCAGCAAGGCTATTGAAAAATTGACTGTTACAGGAAGTAAAATTAAATGTGGTAAATCAATTCCCCTGATTTAAAAACCAACCAAACAAACCCTACAGCTGTACGGAGGAAGTAAATGCATCCACATGAAAACCTTACTTAATCTAGATAACTCTGTTCAGTTAAAGTGCTTTCGAAATTACAGTAAACAAATTCAGATTTGTTTGCTGCACATGAAATTTGGGCAATGTAAAAGAATTATCTCATTATTTCTAAGGCTGTACTAAATTGCCCCAAGTTACCAAAAGCATTTTGATTTTATACATAGAAATAAACACAGGTTTGCTTAAATTGTATGATAACACAGATCTACACAGCTTAATTAAGAAAGTTCTGTTTATTAGCTTTAATTACTAAATTACTATTCCTTGAATGCATAAGCAGGTGCTGTTAAGATCATTGCAAGTGTACAGAAGTGTTTATAATAAAATGCAAAATAATGCAAATATAGGCATAGGCCAAGATTTTTCTTTAAAAAAAAAAATTATAGCAAAAATCCCCAACCCAACGGTTAGGCAGCTATGTCTGTATGAAGGCAACAGAGAACAGCTCAGTGCTGGTACTGTGCTTCTGAAAATCAGATCAACTGTTTAGTTCTTAAGTATAGGCTTAAAAGCAACCTTTATGCATCTGCATTTGGAAGCTTTAGAAGCAATGTAAGCATGTATGTTGAGATGGCAACCTAATATTAATATAATACAGAATCTTTTCAAGTTTCATTTCAAACAATTAAATGGTTCAGGAAGTGAAGTGAAAATTATTACTGTAATACAGTTCAAACAAAACCTTTTCACCTGGAGCACATTCAGGATTACTCTAAGTATAACGGAGTGAGGAAAAGATGATGAGCAAGACCTCCGAAAATAGCATATAATCCAGTAGTTAGGGCAGTCACCTAGGGGATGGGATACGCTAGCTCAAATCTTTATTCTGCCTGGTTTAGACCAGGGAATTGAATCCGTATCTCCCACATCCAAGCTAACTCCCCGCTCCACCAGACCATTAGCTACCAGCACAGAACTCTGTCCTTTTCCCCTGATGGAGTTGTTTCGCCTTGTAGAAATTGCTGTAAAAATCCATTCTGTAACTTCTAGGGGCAAAAATAGACTCATACTCTAGCTGAAGGGGTAGAATGCCCATATTGGGTTCTGGAGACCCTGATCCAAGATCTGACTCCTGTGGGTATTTGGTTATTTATACAAAGTGGAGCAGCTCCAAGAGGAGGTAAGAGAATTAGGTGGAAGAGGGACTTCAGCCTGACTTGCCATATCCCAGGTGTCTCTCCTTGAATTTCTGCAGCGAGTAAGAGCTTTGTTAAATATAGAACATTTCTCGGTGGAAAAAACTGTCTTGTTTTCCAAAAAAAAAAAAAAAAGAAAAAAAAAAATCCTGACCAGCTTGACTCACAGAAGGACTTAACCATGTTACTTCAAATTGCCTTTGAACCCATTGCAAAACATTTTAATGCTTAGCATAGTATTACGATAATGCACTTTTCAGTATTATTTTTCAGAACTTACATTATGTTTAGTGTGCCTGACAACCAAGAAATAGACTTGATTGTCTGTTCAAAGGTCCATCCTTTTGTTTGGAGATTCCTTGGACTATCAAGGGATCATGTTCTTAAAATTAGTTTGGAGATTTTTATGCTACACCATTTAATAATTGTGTGTGAATAGAGAACAAAATGACAAGACAGAAAATTGTTGTTCTTGATAATTTTCCTTAGAAAAGCAGGTGAAAAGGGATACAGATTCTTGGAAGCTGTATTTGGAAATAGAGCTATGATGTTGTAAAGATCTTTAATAGAGACTGTAGAATTCAAAACAGCCTCCAGTCCTTCATGTATTTATCAAAAAGCATAATCATTTTTAGAAGTATTTTTGACTAATGACTACCAAAGAGTAACCAACTCTCCTGAGCTGTCAGGCTCAATAATACTGTCTACTTGGTTTCATGCCCAGTCTCATAGTGAGGATATAGCTCACATGTTTACAAACGTGATTTAATTTCTATCTATTTTCACATTTTTGAAACATGACCCTTTCAGGGTCTACAATATGTACATTCGAGCTGCCTACAGATCTGGTGAAAATATGTGCGTGGAAGGCAGTGCCTTTATGAAAAAATGGTAAATGTGTAGAAGTAGCTTTTAAATAACCTGCTCTACCACAACTTTAAAATCTTTGTTATGGTGTGGAGTCATGAATGAATAGGGGGAAAAAAAAAAAACAGACATTTTTGTAGGGTGAGAAAATATAGGTAAAAGACTTAGGATGTGTTTTTACAGCTGGGTTATGCTGTTGTCTTAAGCAAAAAAAGCTCTGACTTTTTTTTTCTTAACATTATTTTTAGTTTTTAAATACACTTAGATGATTTCGTTACTGTCTTGGGCAGTTCTGACAATTGGCTGCAATCAGCAGACAGATACAGTCCTCCTGCTCTTTCCCTTGCCCTTGTGCTTTCCCACTCCTAGGCCCCCCTTTGTACAAGGACTAGAAATCATGTGGCTTGTTTATCTGGCTGAAACCTTTCTTTTTTCTGGCTGATTTCACAACATATGCTAGTGACAACACAAGGGAGAAACAGCTACAGTCTATGTGGATTGGGAGGGAACTTGTGCCTTTCGGGCCAGACCACAGTTGGATCAGTTTAAAATGATGATGAAATTATTCTTTTAGAAAGACCCACTGAGGAGCACAGGATGCCTTGGCAGGTAGTTTACATGTTCCCTCACCTGCCTCTGGAAATTTTAATCATCTCAGTAGTACTGCAAAGTAAGAGCATTTGCATCCACCAATCTTAATGAAGACTCACCTTGAGTACTTGCTCAATGTTATGGCAATCCTATCATTATGGGATTCATTTTAATAACAATAAACTGTTTAATCACAGTAGTTCTTCCAGCAAATAGATCTGTAAGTGTTTCATTATCTAGCTCCTCATAAAATGGTTCTATTTAATCAAAACACTTTATTGGCATGCAATGATGATTTATTTACACAGTAGTTTAAGAAGTGAAAACAGAAAAGATTGTGGCCAAAATAATCATGCGTCTGTTACAGTATAGTTTCTAAAATTGCCATGTAAATCATAAATGACTTATAGTCTCTGAATGCTTAAACAATTAAAAATAACTTTGAAGAGTGGGAGAATATTTATTTCCTGTGTTTGAACAACTGATTTGAACACGTTCAGCAAACAATTAATTTATTGTCATGCAGTAACTATTTAATGCGGTCCAAAAAACACTTTAAATATTCGTTCATTGTTTATCATGTAAAATAAATAATATAATAGCCATCTTACATTAGAACAGCTCATAGAAAACATTTGCTTTTTACTTCTATGTATACCTAACATATATATATATATATATATATATAAAATGATAACTGATGACAATTTCAAAACAAGATCTTAGATTATACTGATTTGTTTCAGCAGGATGGGTGTTCATAGAGGTTATTTATTGTAAAATTATGTTACTCTTAATAAAGTTTCTATTTTGTAAGAGATTACTTATTTCTTCCTTTAATATAAGGAACTTCTCTCAAGTACACTGTAAAGTTATGCTTGAAATTTACACAAGTTTCACTTAGAAAATTAGATGGCATATACTGTTTTGTGGTTGTTTTTTCTTCTAAAAGGAATATTTGAAAGAGCAGCTGTCCTGTGAGAATTCTTCTGAAGATGGTGTTGCCCCTGGTCCGGGCCTGTCTTTGACACTGAAGTGCAGGGAAGAGCAGCCTGTCTTCAACCCTTTCCAGGTGTACAGGCAATCTTGTGCAAAAGTGTTCAATCAGGTTTGTCAAAATCTGTAAACCTTGGCTATGGTATAATTTTAACTTGCAGGTCTTATTATAATCATGATAATGACAGAGACTGAAATTAGGAGAACCAAATTAATCACATGCGTTCACTTTTGATGAAGTGCAAAGGAATATTATTACTCGGGAGTCTAATGAGGACACCCTCTACAATAGCATGATGTTCAAAAAGCCATTATTGTCCTTTTCTTTTATCAGAATTATTGCATGTAAGGGCAATTTGCATTTACTTGGAATTTCTGTGTTAGTTCAGTATAGTGAAGGAAAGCCCATTAGTGGCAATGACATTTATTACACCTGTGTAACGGTACATAGGGCTAATCTTAGTCCTTTGGAAAATCATGGCAAAACTCCCAAGTGTACATTTAGAATCTTCCTGATGAATCTTTCACAGTGATGTTGAACAATAAAGTAAAGGATGCTTTGGAAATACAAAGATTTAACAGAACAATGAGAATAAGCAGTGGAAAAAACATACCAAAAAATGAAAGCATCCATTTCTCTGTTTTTCATTAAGCCATGTTAGTGATGTGTAAAGGGTTATAATTTACTTACAGAAATTATTTTCCTGATAATGTAAAAGTTAAAGAAAATACATCTAGTTGCCTAAATCTCTGCCAGAGCACCACATGACCAATTCATTATACAAAATGGTATGTAGTTTCTGGTAGTGCTTGGACAGTTAAAAAAATCTTACACCGTCATTTCTCAAGTCTTCCTCATCCATCATCTACAGTTTTGATTCTACTTGTAAATTTCAAATACTTAGAAAGAAAAAATGGTATTACAGGGGCATGAAATTCACTTTAAACTACTTGTGGTAGAAAGATGTCCTTTTTCAGTACAACTCTGCTTTTAAATACTGTAATCTCCTTTCACAATTTTGAGCATTTGGAGTACTTCACCAGTTGTATTGCTGTAAATTATATCCGTTTTTGTTTATTTTTTTTTCATTTTCTTGTATTTTTTTTTTTCCTTAATGTTTAATGAATGCTTTTTCATTGTCATATTGCAGTAACAGTGTTAATATCTGAAAAAGGAGATTAATACCAATTTCACAAGGCTTCTCGCTCCAGAGAAACATGCTTTCAAAGTATCTTTTTTTCATTCCACTAGTTCCTTTATGTCTATCTAAATTGATAGAATTTAAGGGGCTACAGAATCACTTACTCCAATTTGAAATGCAGAAAATAGTTTATCATGCCTCAATTCTCAATTCATTAATAGTGTGGTAGAATAAGACCTTCAAGTAGTGACAACTCAGGGCAGAATTCTGCTGCTAGATGACAGGTTTGCAGTGCTCTGTTAATCAACAGATGACAAGGGATAGTTCGTATTAAATTGCTTTGGATTCTGTAAACTTCTGGCATAAAGTCTATTACCTGAATATGGAAAAGTATCTTAAAATTAAAAGAAAAAAGGAGTAGATCATGGACCTTAAAGAACTATGTGCCAACCTTGTTGTTGACAATGACAGACATTTAATGAGCTTAATAATATTATTAGATAATGTAGTTCTCTTTACCATAAAATTTAATATTTATTTAGTGGTGTGGGACTGTCTGTTTATAAAATAGTGGTCATTATAGCTCAGTGTCTGGTTTGCTGTGAAGACCATTACCAGTGCCTATAGAAGATGCCAGAGCACTGTCAATGAACAATTATTCTTCTCAAAGGGTATATTTCTTAATTAATTTCTTACTGGTTGACAACTGCCATGAAGTTTAGGAATATATAATCCATTTTAATTTCTTGATTTTCTTTAAATCTGTTGCATCTAGATGTGGTTTTAATACATCAACTAGTGTTTTATCCTTTCATAAATCCTAAGTCCCAGGAAGCTACTAGTTTCACAACAGATTTTGTCAATGAGTTAATGATGTATTTATTTTTAAAACTTTTTTCTCAGAAGGGCCAGTTGAAATAGGCATGTCAATACTGCTTGTGAGTCCAGAGAGCTGGTTCAGATCTAAACAGAGAGTGTTTATGTTACACAGTACTATATAGCATGTTATAATACATAATAATGTAATATAAAACAATATAAGAGCTTCCTCTGTAGGGGATTTCTTTAAATAAATTATTACAAAAACCTTCTAAAAGATAATTTGTAATAAACATTCCATGTATTATTTGTTAGTATATGTAAAAATTGCACTACATTAGGGTGATTGACTTTTCTGAAGTTTTGCTAATTTGTCCCTATCATGTCAAATTTAGCAAGATACTTAATCATAATTTCTACAAATTTTACTGCTCCTGAAACAAAGGCCACTGAACCGCTATTTTGAGATGAACTCTAGCATTTTTGATTAACAATATGTAAATTTCTTACCTTTCAACCTTTTAGTTCAGTAGCTGATTCTAGGAAGGTGTCATTTCTGTTAACAGTTCAGCCATTTCATTCTTACATTCCTGTAAAAATCTTGAATAATCACCATCTGGTCCTAGTAACTTGTTGCTCTTGATTTTATCAATTTGTCCTGACACCTCAATCTCTGCCAGTACTGCTGCTCCTCTATTGTCTAATAGGATTAACTCGAGGCTATGCAACTCCTCAGCAGTATCAATGAAGAAAAATGCCACAAGTAAATTATTTTCCTTTCCTAAAGGGACCTTTTTTCAAACATCCTTTATTTTTTCACGAAACTTATCAGTCTGGCGAACTGAATTTTTATCTGGTATACTTCTAAATTTTCCTATTTGTTTTTATGACTGTTGCTACTGGTTATTTAGCTTCTCCTTTTTTTCCCCCTCTTGATTTTACAAGTGCTTCCTCCATATTTATTTATCCATTTTTAATTCAGTGTATAGAAGAGTTGCCCACTTTCTCCCCTGTGTTCTACTCCCACTGTTCTCTCAATTGACTGTTTTTCCCTTAGTTCTTGTTTATCAGATGTTCACTGTTACTTATTCATTCACTTTCCACTTTCACCTGTATTATTTTTTCTTCAGCTACCCTCATCTCCTTTTCCTACTCTGTATTTCACCTTTACTTTTCTAGTTTACTTTTAAGTGCATGCCAAAGATGAGGGTTAGGGAGAAAATTAAACGAAAAGAAGGAAGGGAATTAAATAATGATGGAAGAAAGGGGAGGGGTTGCACTGATTCTGCTCTTGCAGAAGAACCAAGTGCTGTGTGTCAGAAGAAAAAGATGCACTGCAAGGTATACTTTACTCTTCTTATTTAGGCTCATTTCCATAGTTTTGACTTGCTTATTTTTTTTTAATTTGTCAGTGCTATTTTGGTGTTACAACAATAACTTTTTAATCATTTGCTCCCAAAAATGTTGAATTGTAGTCACTACTTGACCATTACTGACAATAAAAATTAATACTATGCAACAGGAGTTACTGTTTTGTAAACAGAAAACATTGTGTATGGTCTTTTGTCTACCCACTATTATTGTAGATTGCTTTTATTCATTAAATAAGCAATAATTGTATTTGTTCATATTGTCTAGACTTACTGCTGTTTATAATAACCATCTGGTGACTGGAGTGCCTTACAAAACAATAGACAAGTAAACCCTCACTCTAATTATGATACAGGTTACATCTTGAATTCTAGCTATACCAAGTTTTTCATGACAAACTTTTTGCTGGCAGCAGAAAATGTAAATTGCTATTACATAAAAAGTTGGCAATTATTTTGCTTTTCAAACAAAGAGTCAAGCTCTCAGACAAAGTGGTTGGGCAGAATGCCATTAACAGTTGGAAGAATAACGGTTCAAAAAATTGATTTATCTTTTTATAAATAATGGCTACATCCCTAAATGGATTTATAAATTAATTGCTATCTTATTGGAATAAAAACCTTCTTCTATGGACATGATTGATATCATCTGCCTAAGTCCTTGTTCTAGACCCCCCCTCCTTCTTGGTTAGTATATCACAGCTGGAGCTTTAATTTACTGATCATATTAACACTGATTAATAACTAACAATAGCTTCTTGCCATGTATCAACAGTCAACCATTACTGAATGGAACTGGGATTGGTCAAACTTGCTGCCAAGTTATTTGGGAGTGAATCAGATGACCTTCAGGATGCTGCTGGCACACAGGTAATGGGATTTTGGCAAATAATTGCACTTCTCTGTTGTCTTTCTTACTTTATAATAGTCCATACACAAAGATTCTACTGTGAAATGCATAAAATAAGTTAGACATGTATTTCTAAATATGCAATTTAAAAAAGGAGGTACTTTACTTATTGTCTGTTGTATTTGATTCATACAAAGATGGCTTTCCATTCCTATTTTGAGGAAACTAGTATGTTCTTTCTGTCTGAGACCTGAATATATGCTGATATTGCCCTTAAATAGTGCTTTAAGGGCAAAGAAAAAAAGAAGAAAAGAAGTTAGTGACTTTTGCAGACCTATACTGCACAAGAGAGTTTTCAGCTGTGTAGCACAGAACTTAGGGGATGTTTACTCAAGTTGCAATGAATCTTAAATTCAGCTGCGGGCATGACAAGTGTAGCTAGAAATAGAAAGTGTTTCCTTAATACTTCTGAGCTGATTGAACTTATTTTAATATTTTAATATTTTTTTACTTGTAAAATTTAACTGCTTAATTGATAAGGAGATATCTCTAATGCAGAATTGATACTTGTTAAATTCAGAAATAGTGATTTGCTAAATTCATAAAATTGTAAGTTGAAAAAAATGGGAATTTTTCTAAAAGTTGCCAATTATATCCTTACAAAAACTGGAAAACTTACATGTTGGAAACTAAAAAGTTTAACGTTCCCTTATTAATTCTGAATCCCCCTGATATAAAATATGGTCATATCATTTATCTTTTAAACTGAAATGTTTTTCTCTTTCAAAACTAGAGTGACAATTTCAAGAGTGTGTGAATTTGCATGTCAAAAATGTTTTGATGTTTTTTATACCATTTTATCAATTTATCGCTAGCAGTTAGTTTTAAAAATTTAATTCTTCCTTCATTTCATATGAAAGTATTTGTAATGACTATTTCTAGTCTTCTTTCTTAATTGTGCTATAATTAATTCTTTCCCCACCCAAATTTTTATTTTCCAAAATTTTAATGCAATTTACATGAAAGATGATGCTAGCAAAAATGTGCCATTCAGTTGTCCTCTTGATGTCCTCTGTTAACCACTAGCAGCCGGAATGTGGGACTTTTTTTGACTGTACCAGTAGTGTCGTTTTTATGTGAAACTGCAGAGACAATTCAGTACTAATTTTTTTTTCTTTGATAGTTCTCCTGCTGATTGCTAACACTTGTCCTTCATTAAAAATGAAGTAGTTTGCCCTTTTAAAAGAGATTCTAATAGAAAGTCTTAGGCTCAAGCTGGTTCTTGAACTTCCCTTCATGTTGATGTCATCAATATGAGCCAAAGGGAGCAGAGAGGACTGCTGTGAATTGCAGAGGGAACATTTTCTGTGGACATTTCATCTTTTCTGATATCTTGAAACACATTTCATTTTTCTTTTGATCTCTTTATCGAGTTTAGAAAGAAGTCATACATATGCCTTCTCTGTCCTTCTTTGTATTTCACAACTTTGTCATATCACCTATTGTTGCTTTTTTTTTTTTTTGTTTAATAAGTGCCCTAATTGTTGTCGTCCTTCCTAATTTGAAAATTTCTCCATTCATTGCCCTTCTACATGATATGGAAATTCTCATCTAGAAGTGACATTAGGCAAGCCATTAATGATTATCTCATGGATTTATTATTTAAACCACTCTTCTCTACTTTACAGATCGTTTAAACCCATTGTGATCATTAAGTAAATTGCTAATCCAATATCTGCTGTAATGACCAGCATCTCCAACACATGTTGTCTTTATATGACTTAATTTTTAGCATAGCTACAGTATGTCTGTTCATGTTTTCCAACTGGCTAGGCCAATTCTAGCTGGTCTCGTGGCAACTCAGGTAAGCTTTGCAATGACTCAAGTAAGCCCTATCTTTAAGTGATTCTTCATGCTCCTTCCTAACATTGCGTAATCATCAGCCTTACTTGTACTCAGGAGTTAAGTAAGTTTCAAGTGGAATAGGTATATTTATTATTTTGACCTCTGCTTCGTGATCAACGTGTTCTGTTTCTACTATTTGCCTCCTGAGATGAGTTAAACAAAACTAAGGGCAGTACTTAAAAAGAGTCAAAACCATCAGTTTGTAAAGTGGAGTGACATAATACTCTAATTACTTCTTTCTTTAACACATGCTAACTAACACTTTCCCTTTTCAGTTACTTATGTTCTGGCAAAAATATTTTTACCTGTTCACAGTAATATTGGGTTCTATTTCCTTTTTTTTAGATTTAAAGAGAAATACTGTCTGTTGCATATGAAGTAAAATAAGTATGCTCTGCTCTCTCTTCAGTGGAAAAAAAGTAAAAATGCTTAGGGGACTCATTTACAAGGGAAATGCTCCCCTAACCTAGTTAATGACTGAGTTAGGTGGGAGGGGGTTATGGGAGCATTGTCCCAGAGCCAGCAAGTGGTAGGCAAATTAATTAGTTGGTGGTTAGGGGAAAGTAAAATGCTTTTAGGACTGGTTAAAAAGGGAATGAACTGTTGTGTACTACTCATTGTTGGCTCCACATGAGTGTGTGAATCTAATCCATGCATTCTGATGATCTTCAAAGTGTCTAGGAAACTTTTCAAATTAAATATGTGGATGGTTAATGATACTATTCTATTTCAAGGTTATCAAATATAGAACACTATCAAGAAAAGCCTATTAATGTTGAGCAGTAAGCAGTAACATAGAAAACTCCATGTTCATCCCTATCTACAGTTCATACCTTTAGAAATTGTAAAAAAATTTTCCTCACACAAAGAAAAGGGGTATATAGATGGATTCATTTCCTTTTTAGTTTTGCTTCTGGTTCTTTTTTTTTTTTTTTTTACATGTAGTTTGAGTGTTAAAACATACTTTTCAATTATACCTGAAACAATATCTTTTAATAACAAGCCCATTAATGTTCAGCTAATCTATATCACTTGATTTACCCAAGTTTTTAAAAATGTCCTGCATCCTTATACAGATACATGCTGCTTTTTCAAATCTTGGCAGGTACTTCCACATCTTTAGATATTTCTGTACCAAATGAGATTTTTTTGATACATATATTAAGACAAGAAGACTATGTGCTTTTAGTTATTGTTTAATTTGCATATCTTTTAACTTTTAACCACTGTCCTGCTTGTAAAGGAAAAATTGTTATTGTCTGGCTAAATCTGCATGTTGAAACTGTTTTGGCTGTTTATCACATCAACTATGTCTTCTTTTTTACTGTCTAGCCACTCTATCTGTGCATATTATCACAATTGAAAATACTTTAGTAACGGGGGTGAGTTGACGCCAGCCAGCAGCCAGGTGTCCATATAGCTGGTCGCTTTCTTCCCCCCATGATAGATGTGGGAGAGAACTGGAAGAGAAAAGGTAAGAAAACTCATGGGTCGAGGTCAAGACAGCTTAATAAGTGAAGCAAAGCTGCGCACACGTAAGCAAGGCAGAACAAGGAATTCATTCAGTGCTTGCCATGGGCAGGCAGATGTCCAGCTCCTTCCTGGAAAGCAGGGCTCCATCAGAAGCAGCGGTTCCTTGGCAAGGCAAATGCTGTAGCCCGGAATGTTCCCCCTTCCTCTTCCTCTCCCCAGCTTTTATTGCCTAGCACGGCCTTTGTATGGCATGGGATATCCCTTTGGTCATTTTGGGTGAGCTGTCCTGGCTGTGTCCCTACCCAGCTTCCTGCACACCCCCAACCCACTTGCTGGGGGGGCAGAATGGGAACAAGAAAAGGCCCTGGTGCTGTGCAAGCCCTGCTCAGCAATAGCCAAAAACCTGGTGAGTTGTCAACGCTGAGGCACAAACCAAAGCACTGTACATTATCCTTCTTGTTTATGTACTCTCTTTTATGCAGATATGTCAGTTAAATACTTTCTGATCATTTATTTTCAGAGAAGTGTCTCAGCAACATGTACATAGTTATATTAATATTTTGCTAGGGTTTGAGATGTGACCTTCCTTTTGCAGTTCTACATGACTTTCAGTTGTATTGAATACATTACTATAGAAGGTAACTACATTCCACTCACTATAATTAGAAGAAACAATCAACATATTTTTGCAACATATGAAGCCATTCTCCAATATCGTGGTAATTTGCTGTTTTGAGGAGGAGTGGCCAGGATTCCCTCTTCTGTGCTTAGGGAAGTTTCATGGAGCACTGGTGCCAGTGCAGGGTGGTAAACAGTGATTTGGTTGGAAGGGCATGGAGGTGCATGTGCTCCAGGAGCACCCTGGGAGCTACAGGAACAGACAGAGAAGAGCTCATGGCTGGCAAAGTCCATGACAGTCAGGTACGAGATCTTAAGAATAGGAAGCACAGCAACTTAATAACTGAGAGGGGAATATGTTGGTTTACCATAAATGCATGATGTAAGAAACAGTACCAAGTTAGAAAAAATATACATGTTAAAACCAATATTTGTTCAAGTAGATAAGAAATGCCACGAAAAACGCTGAGACTGGAAATCAGAAGATGTTTCCCAACAGATAAACCAGTGCATCTCAAGAAGAGCTTTCCAGAAAGTGTTTGCATGGTGACATGAGCTTTCGTAGTTTAAACAGGATAGACCAAGTAGTTTACGTCTAGTGATGTGTTCCTTTGATAAATATTCTCAACTGCCCAGCCGCTTCTCAAAGCAGAGTAGAAAACCTGGAATTGTTTACATGTTGGCTTTAAGAAAACTATAAAAAATTAATAAGTTTGTTTTCTACTAAAACTGGGTAAAATATGTAGACTTTTTAGTAGCATTTGCAGCAAAATATATGCAAACTCTCACATTCCTCAGACTACAGAATTTTTCTTAAACATAGCCCAGACTGAATTCTTTCTGACAAGCCACTGGGCTGTTTGCAAGTGAAACTTCTTTTTAGGAAGGTGAAGACTATTCTTGGCATCAGGGTTCCGCCCTAAGATTAAGAAGATCCCTTTATTATGTGGAAGCTGATTTTGTACCTAGTGTCTCTCTCCTTTTTTTGCTTTTTTTTTTTTTTTTTTTTTTTAAATCCTTCTGA